GCAATCCAGAACTTGGCGCAGAACACGTTCTGACTTGTCACAGCAGGAAAAGAAAAGGTGAAACTAATTTCTATAACAATGGCTCTCTTCTATCAACTGTTTCCAGTAAGCCAGCGTGCAAAATGCCAGGACCCTGGAATTTTAATATCGTCACATCTTCTCTTGCGCTGACATGCCGTGTGGGCTGTGAGTAAAACCAATTGCAGTCAATAACGTCAGCAGGTGATGAGTTATTCCTCCTCTATTTGAAAAAGTGCTACTCAGTGGTGAGTCTTTAGCTGGAGATCAAAATGGTTTTCCAAAGCACGTCGTTGGCCAACTAAGAATCAGCATCCAGATACTGATCATTCATGATTTACTCATTGAAGACAGTAAAGGCTCACTGGGAGGTGGAATCAACCCTGATTATTGTTGGCGATCAAGGAGACAAATTTAAGCCTTCAGTTGCTGATATTCAGCCTCCTGCTCTGCAAGAGACTTTTTATAACCATGTTTAACAAATAATAACTCCACTTGTGAACAAAGATTTACATGCACTTGTACAGACCTCAGCATTGAGTTTCCAATGATTAAATATTGTTGCTCCAGCAGATTTTAATAATAATAAATCTATGATAATAAATCTAAATCTCTGCTCATGAACTCTGTTTCTTTTGTATGTATTTATAGTCTTGATGAGATGAGAAGTATAATGGAGCAGAATTTCATAGTGTGTGCTGATGCATGGTGTGGTTGGTTTTGCCCTAATCGATCAGGTATAACAACAAGAGACTTCATGTGTTGCATTCAGCACTACTGTGGTACCCATGAGAATTCCTGTACAGCACACTTTCTGGATTGCTCTGTTAATTCCTGTGATTGCCACTGCTGTCTGTACATTTGTCGTTTTTTTTGGGAAGTGAATGTTTTGTAACGACTGGGCTGCAAGGTGACGCAGTTGGTAGCACTGTTGCCTCGCAGCAAGAAGGTTGCCGGTTCGCGTCCCGGAATCTTTCTGCGTGGAGTTTGCATGTTCTCCCCGTGCAGCGTGGGTTCTCTCCAGGTTCTCCGGCTTCCTCCCACACAGTCCAAAAACATGTTGAGGTTAATTGGTGATTCTAAATTGTCTGTAGGTGTGAATGTGAGTGTGCTTGGTTGTCTGTCTCTAAGTGTAGCCCTGTGATAGACTGGTGACCTGTCCAGGGTGTCCCCTGCCTTCACCCTGAGTCAGCTGGGATAGACTCCAGCCCCCCACGACCCTAGTGAGGATTAAGCGGTGTATAGATAATGGATGGATGTTTTGTGACTTGTCTGTTTTTTTTTTTTTTGTGGAGAAATGGGTGTTTATCGTGCAAAAATGTTGCAGAGATTTTGTTGTACAGCCGGTGTCATTGATGTAGTTGACAACGTTACAATAATCACACAAAAATGCATGATTGTTTTTTGAGACAAAGACGCACAGAAAACTCTGGGTTATAGAAGTAATTGGAAACTTTTGTTCACAACTGACGTCTTGTGGAAAAAAAACATCACATTGATTTATAACATATGGGCTGGTTGGTGCGCAAGTTTTCTCAAAAGTATGCAGCTGCCGCCCGGTGATTTACTGACCCACCGTCACTGAGGTGTATTTCTTGCAGATGTATTGAACTCGTTCCTACTAAAACACCTGTTGGATTCTGCACCTTTTCTCCCACCAGACAAAGACAACCTCTTCGTTCCCTCTGCCATCCACTTTGAGATCGTGTACCTGCGCCCCGACAGGCCTGCCGTGGTTCCCTGTCGCGTCACCGATCCGCAGGCCAAAGCGTCCCTGCACAGAGAAGTTCCCCCGGAGGAGATCACGGCCAACGGGACTCTGCTGACCTTTGACCCCACCAAGGGGTTCGTCCTGCAGAGCCCGAGCCCCGAGCTTCAGGGGGTCTTCTACTGCAAGGCCGTGACCAAGGGCAACCCTCAGATCTCCACAAAGTACCAGCTGCTTTATGTGGAGGGTGAGGACACGGCGATCATGTCCGAAACACACTAACATACTGTAACGCTGCTCTCAGTGCAGGAATGCTGGTTACTTTCTGTCAAACATGAATATTCACCCTGTCAGCTTAACATGCTTCCAACCACTGGGAGAAAAGCTGCACAAAGCTGTGAATCTAGCTTTGCCTCCTCAGCCTCCAGGAAAAGGTTTGTATTTCACAAAATGTCAAAAAGCTCCTCACAGCTTTGGTTTATGTGGACGGCTGCCAGCTGAAATGGAAACACTGTGCGGGTTTTGCAAACGGGGAGGAGGACGAGAGGTGAACGTATGAAATGGAAATTGTGTGTGGTTTAGGTATAGTTGAGCTGATGTGGCATGTTTGACTGGCAGATGGAGAGAAACAAGGACCGGACTGATGATGGAGGTTTAACTCTTTAAACACCACCAAGTTTGGACCACAGATTGTAAATGTTTACACATGAAATGCTTCGTTTCATCAGCTGATACAGCAAGTAGAGCTATAGCTGTCTTTCTCTTGTTGCAGTCCCCAGCGGGCCGCCTTTTGTGAGTCTTGAATCCTCTCCGGACTCAGTGAGAGGAGGCGACAACGTCAATGTGACCTGCACCGTGCTCGGAGAGCCAGAGGTGGACGTGAGCTTCACCTGGTCTTATCCTGGTCAGGTGAGATCAATGCTGGACCTTAAACCAAACATCAGAGCTGATTAATATACAAAATAAACAACCAGTAGTAACCTGTGCTGATACTGCATACATGTCTTCAGTTTAATTATATCGTCCCAACAGAGACATTTATTTTATCTTGTAAACCAGACGTTAACAAAATTTAACACGAGAGAAAAATGGCTAAAAGATTAAATCTGTTGTACACAGAAATAACTGAAGATACAGCGTACAAGCACAAGTTATGGAAGTAAAAGTAAAAAAAAAAGAACCTCACAAGTAGCTGATTTAGTTTACAATTAACATATGTTGTTAAAAGAAAAGCAGAAGTAAAGCATTGTGGAGTATCAGATAAATAAAATCAATGAAGGAATCATTAAATGTGCCTGTCTTCATTTTGCTACGATTTAAAATGTTTTAAAGTCACAATAATGACATAATTATTCACATTTCATACTTGTTTTCTACAATATTCTTTAATATTATATAGAATCATTAAAATGTAATAACCCTATAATGTTTGTTCACTATAATAATTGTAACAACACATTAAAAAAAAGAATAATAACAAAATTAACAAAATAATAGAAGCCTACTGTGTACTGTACGTTGTTTAATAAAGCCACTTTATATGTCACATTTAAAAAAAATCTGTTTCTATTGGAGGTTAATCAGCTGCCTCATCAAGGTGCTATAATGTTTATGAAGAGCATCACCAACCATAAATATATTAATTAACAATTAGTTGTAATAATAATTTGTGTCTGATAGGGATTTTTCACTAATGAATGCACTGAAAAAAATGCATTCTTAATGTAAATAATTTAGAAAATTCAAGTTTTCTAATCCTATTTGCTTAAGTTACTCTGATCCAGACTAGTTGGGACGTTACAGCAGAAACATTAAAACTCAGAAACACTTTCCCTCTCCAGCAGATGAACATGAAACAGTCTCTGCGCAAACATTAAGTGGAGGACAAAAAAAAGTTTCTCCTTTACAGCCGTCAATAACTGATTCATTTTTCCACTAGTTCCTTCACGCCACTGAATGCTGTTTGTTTTCTGTGTAGGACCACCGTCCAGTTCACGTCCAGACCTCCTGGAGGCTGGTCAACAGAGGGATGGGCCACACCACCAGGGTGTCGCAGAGCGTCATGACCGTCGAGGACATGGAGACCATCGACTTTGGAAACTATGTGTGTAAAGCCAAGAACCAGCACGGCGAGACGAGTGTGACGACCAGCATCGTGGCCAAATAACCCCGGCAGCAGGCATGACGTGGTTGTTTGATGTTGGAAGGATTTTGTTTCTTTAAACATGTTGTTGAGCGATAAGTGTAACACACCAAGCAGCGAGACAAGATGAAATCATGTATATATACAAAAAAAAAGTGTGTTTTTTAGAATGCAGATTGTGAACAATAAAGATTTGAAGTTGGTTGAAGAGTTCATGCTGATGTTGAAAAGTGTGGAGCTGCAGTTTAAACTCCAGGTATTACCAAAAACAAAATGTAAAAGTTGATTTGGATAAAAAAGTTCTTCATCCAGAGCATGGCTTGAGGGATTTGAAGGGATCACATCATGACATTACTGCTAACGATGTGAGGATTAGTGTCTTTTTCCAACACAGACAATGAGTCTAAACCCATCCCAAATATCTGAAATCCCAAGAAGAGCAAACAGTACTGATCCGCAAGGCCTCAGTCAGCAGACCTCACATCTAGTCAACGTCTCTGGGAATATTTGAACATGTGAACCTCATGTGATGCTCTACAAGAGTCTGGGTTAAATATCAGTTCTTAAAAAACTGCAAATCTGTTGAACAAGAGGAAGTTATACCTGAGGAAACATTCATCAAATGAAGCTTTGCTAAATCTTTTAATCTCCACTTGACTGCTAACTTAAAAGAACAGACACGAAACAAGCGTTGAGGGTGTGTTCTGTTGCACTGGACGCCGAATCAAACCTTTAAGCCACATTTAAACTGAATAATGATGCTGGAAATAAAAGCAGCAGCAGCCGTCGGAGACTCGCAGCACGTCTGAGGAGGAGAATCTGCTCCGAGGCCGAGCCGTGTGCCAGGCTGACGTCCTAATGCGCTCCGTATGTGGAATGCGATCTGCAGGCCCAGAGCTTATTTTGGTCCAATGCAACACTTGCTGCAATTTCCACTTTGCTGAATAGTTGCCGGTGGTTGTGATTTTGAAATATACTTTGGATTAGGATTACCAAGTGAATGTTTGTGGTTTAGAAAAACCACGTACAGATATTTGACTTAAGCACAGCAAGGTTGGACTGACGGTATTTTAAAACCTGCCTTTCTCTTTAAAACACTCTTTTTGTGACTGTGACAGACCATTCTGCAGCTTCCACGTTTAATACAAGACTTTATTAATTGCATATTTCAAACAGGGTCAACACACCGATAATATCAACTCCACACAAAATACTCTCATTTCCAAGATGCAGTGTCTCTGACATGTACGAGCAAAGCTGCTTCTCTCCGCAAAGACCCTGACGTTAAAGCTGCATTGGGAGGCTTCAGTAAGGGGTGATTGACAAGACTCAAACACATGCACAGATACGTGGATTGGTCCCTTGGTCAAACAAATAAACATGAAGACAGAAATGTGAGAGGCCACAGATGATCCTTAAACAGACATAGAAAAAAAAAAAAGTCCACCGTTAAACTCTGAACATCCACACGAGCGCTGTGAGCATGAAAACGGCCTGAACGTGAACTCTGAGGCCGAGGCAGCCCTGATGGAGCGACTGGCAGTGGGATGTTAGAAATATTTAGATTCTGACTGTTTGTAGTTAGCGATGAGAAATGGTGCAGGAATCCAACAGAAGCAATTCCAGATTCCTTAGATATTTGTAATAAAGATACACCCTGAAATATTCTGAATTCAGACTTTCCATGGCTTTGGTCTCCAGAGAAACAAAACAAAGCTATCTCTCGCTCTGCAAGGCCAAATCTGCGCATGTGTGTGTACACATGCATGTATGTATGTTTGTCTCTTTCTCTTTACTGCATGTACTGTATGTGTGCGTGTGCTGAGCTTCGGGAAAGACAAGCCTCTGAATATATCTACAAATAACAAAAATAGTGTTTCATTACATAGAAGTCCTGAGATTTCCTTTTTTCCCCATCCACAGTATCAGACGTGAAAGGCAAAGAACAAGGTGGCCTTGCTTATTAAGTGCTTCTGTGCAACATTTTCTTCTTCTTTTCTTTTTCGCCACTCTGCAGCATCCCTGTACAGAAAGTGTCAGAGTTCATCCGATCCTGAAGGAGCCAATGTCAGATTGTTGGTGTTGCTAAATGAACAGGAAACAAACATGGCTCTTAATTCCAGAGGGACAACTCAAACGTGACGCTCTGCTTCCTGGAAGCAGGAGCCCATTGTTATCTGGGAGAGAGCGGCGGGCTGGAGAAGAGGCCGGAGCTGCGAGGGGACTGGAGGCTGAAGGAGTGCGAGGGGGAGGTGGAGGTGGGCGACACCTTGCGGGGGCTGCTCAGGTCTCCGTTGTGGAGCTTCCACAGCAGCTCCTCGTTCTCCATCGACAGGCGCTTGTTCACCTTGGACTCCTTCTGGAGGGACTCCTGCAGCACGGCCTGCTCTGTGGACAGCTGCCTGTGGAGCATCAACACAACACGCAAGCTTACACAGGTGGACATGTTCACAACCTACAGTATACGAGTTTAGAGAGTAAGAGTTTGTATTTGTCACATGCTCATCCAGCATGTGCAGTGAAATACAAAGAGACTGTTTCACAACGATAAGACATTCTGAGGAACACATTTTTTAAAACAGAAAAAAAACAGGAAAAAGTCACAACGTCATAAATAATGATGAGGTTGAGGCTGTGAAGCTGAAGTGTAGTGAACATTGTGCCAGAGTACAATACGTGTGTGTGTGTGTGTGCTGACGTTTATACAACTCTGTTATATACTTATCTACACTGATCCAGTGTGCTTTAGGTGACTGATGAGGTGTCATGATTTGGCTTTAGCCTGACCTCAGAGTTCACAGCCCTGACTCCATGAGGACTGTGAACTGTGACCTCAGGACAAAATCTAAATCCTTGCACCTCATCTGTCTGCTATCTGCTATTAGACTTTCTTGCAGAAACTAACCACACCAAGTAAATAACCAAACACCTCAAAAAGACCATCATTACAAAGGCTTATGGGAAACCTAAAAAAGGAGACTATTGACATTTAGTTTTGTTTGATGTTAAAGTCCCATCAACACACCAAACACTCTCAGTACGTTAATCTATCTTCCAATATCTTCTGACTTTGCCTTAAACCCACCGGGCTTCTTACTGAAAATGTAAATGTTCAAAAATGATCAGAAATAGTTTTGTTTCGTTATTCCACAAACAGCTGCTGACTTACTAGATTTTAGCAAATCCTGCTCCCACAGGAGGAAACTGTGCAGAACTATTTTCAGTCACTGATTAGTTTTGTGCTCTAATATTTACAGCAGTAGGTTGGTGTTGGTGTTGGTGTGTGTGTGTGTGTGTGTGTGGGACGTGGCCAAGCTACACTAAAGTGGCCATTTTCATTGTAACAAAGGAACGTGTCTGGTTGATTAAAGATGAACAGTTTTGTCTATCTGATGAGTAGATAGAGTTTATAAAATAATGGATGCTTATAGCACAGGAAGAGGTTTACCTGCACTCTGTGAATTCAGTTGGGCAGAAGCAGTCAGACAATCTTTAGATTCCTCAAACTCTTGTATGAATCACTATGAGCTCATAGGATTGACTCTTACCTCGACAGAGCAGCGTGTCTTTCCATGCGGGCTTTAAGGTCTTCATTTTCCTGCTGGACTTTTTTAAGGCTCTCGTCCAACTTCACATTTTTATCTGTCTGAAAGGCATAAATAACGAGAATGATTTAAGTCAGTAGCTTTGTTTTTGCTTGTTTTGTTGCTTGGCAGTAATTTTCATCTCCATCGTAGCTCTCACCAGTTTGTCTATCTCCATCAGCTTCTTCTCCTGCTGGTGCAGCTGCTTGTTCTTGATATCCAGCACCACTTTGAGGCTCTCCAGCTCCTGCTCCAGATACAGGGTGTGCGAGTCCTTCTGTGGGGACAAGTAGGTTGCGGCAAGATGTTTAGACTGTGTTCAGACTTCCAAAAGTGTCAGAAGCTCAGGGCACACAACAGAGGGCGCCATGCATCCCTTACAACATATACAGCTGAAACCAGAAGTTTACATACACTGGATAACAAGACGCATAGCCTTTTTTCTCACTGTCTGACATTAAATGTGACTAAACTTTTCCTGTTTTAGGTCAGTTAGGATTACCAAAATTACATCTTTTTGCTAAATGCCAGAATAATGAGAGAGAGAATTTTTTTTTATTACTGTCTATGACGTCAGAGGTTTACATACATTTCCTTAGTGCTTGCTAGCGTTGCCTTTATATCTGTATATACTCTGCCCACAGTTTAAACCACTCCTGGTTTCTAACCACGCATGGTCAATATGTATCACAGAGTTGCTGCTAATGCTGCTCTTCTTATTAATCTGTTAGTAACAGATATGGAGTGGCGGGGTGACGTGAGGTAGGTGCCTTAATTACACTACTGAGCCAGGGCACAATGCTGAGTTCGTGTGGCAGCCACTTAACACTAATGAGGAGTGGCAGCCTCGTCGTGCAGCACTCTGGGAAAATTAAAATCTACAGCCTGGGCAGAGAGGGAGGGCCGTGTTGTCGCTAACGCAGAGATGTAGTGAAGAGTTCAACTCATTCCAGTTCATACAGAAGGATTAGTAGTTCACTGAGCAGACAGAAAACATGGATTACTGAACAATAAAGTCTTTCAACAAAATATGTTTTGACTTTTGCTTCTGTTGATAATCTATCCTTAATCACGGGCATCAGGGCTTTTTCATCTTTTATACTCGGGGCAAACAACGCTGGAGTCATGAGATGGTTCTAAAGTGGAGCTCGGCTATAATAAGCACACAGATTACACACAACGAGTACCTGACTCTTGTCGGCCAGCTCTTTCCTCCTGTTCTCCTCTGCAGTTAGCTTCTCAATTAGGACATTATTCTCCGCTGTCAGCTCTTGAATCTGTCCCTGTGGATGCAGACGGCACAACAAAGCCACTGATCATGCACTGGTTCGTCAAACTGGAAGGTATTCTTCTGCCATTGCATGCTTTTTGTTGGAATACTTAAAAAGGCAAAGCTTACAGATAGAGCAGTTTCAGCATCTTTTAAGGTTTTGTCCAGAGACTGCAGCTCCTGATTGTGAACTTTCCTGAGCTCTGCAAAGTTTAGTGACATGGCAACATTAAAAACATGTAGATCGAAAGCTCATAACAATTTCATACCACGATGAAATACAAGAAAACTACAATGAACAGAAATATTTCTCAACACTTTATATGTGCATTATGAAATGGAAGAAGAATGTGCAATGGTGAAGTCATTTTATAATAAATTCAGCCGAATCCTGTGGTCCAGTGTTGTTCGCTCACCTTCCAGTGATACTTCATGCTGCTGTTTAACACACTGCAGCTGTTCTACGTGGCTGCTCTGTAGCTCCAGCTTCATGGCTTCATGACTGGCTTTGAGCTCTTCCATCTTAAATACCAGAACACAGTAAATTGTTAATTTTTAGGAGTCAGGAATATTGATCCAAAAACAACATCATGCACTGCAGTTCATTAAATGATGTGTACAGATGTCATTGTCTAAAACATGGAAAATGTGTTTTAACAGTTTTAAAAAAAGTTCTCCATTAAGATTCACACACTATTTATAAAAACATTGAACCTTGTGCTGGTGTCTGAGCTTTACTTTAAATAAACAAAACTGACTAAAAACTGATTGGCTGTATATCTTCCTAAAAAAATATTGAAACTAAAACCTGAAACAAAGGTTTCTTAGGGACAAACCTGCTGTTGCATGAGCGTTTTGCACTTGTCAGCTTCCTCCTGGTAAGTGAGATGAACTTTATCCCACTCAGCCTGGTAGAAGGCCTGCAGCCTCTGCTCCAGCTCACCCAGGTCTTCCTGGTGCTGATCCTGCAGTTTCTGCAGTGCATCCTGCAGTGAAACACGCAGGTCCTCCTTCTCCTTCTCCAGACGCTCCGACGAATGGACAGAGCAAACTGGTTACAAAAACAGAAGGCAGCAATTTATTGTGTTGAAAAGTTGACAGGTTGCATCATGTTCAGTGCCTGTGTGCAGTTTTGTGGACTGTTATATTCATTTAACAAGGTCAGAGGAAAAATTGTATTAGTAACGGCTTGCGTAAGAAACCTGATATGTCCACTGAGGAACCTCTGTCTAACAAAGTCCCCCTTGATGTAAATGTGTCACACCAAATGCTCTCCAAAAAGGAATGGAAACTCTGACTTTCAAGGGGAGGTGCCTCTTGCACTTGACTGCTTATGCCAACTACACTGCAGTTATTTATAGGCAGAATAAGATAGAGAAACAAGTGTCAATTCTTTCACAACATCTTGAAAATGATAACATAGCAGACTTATCAACCCTTTTCCAAGCAGATAATTTGCAGCTTTTCTGCTTGTGCAACTGTTTTGTTTGCGTTCTGTAAACCGGTCTCGGTAATTTCCCAGCTGTTTCCATTGCCAAGTGTTTATATCTGGTGTGGAGTGGGTGACAGTAATCAACTCCATAACTTGTCTCTAGTTTAAGTGGCTGCGCACAAACACTTCTGATATCCAACAGTTGCTGGTGGATCTCAAATCGCCAGCAAAGTAGCAGTGGTGGCGAACAGTGAGAACGACAGCTGTGCAGAAAAAGAAAGTCTCCTGCTGTGTTTGCTCTCAAATGCATGGTACGACAATAAACCACAACTATTTAGAAACTATATATAACCTCAATAGTGGGTGTAAAATAATACTGAGTCCAGATGTTGCTCTGCTATGGTTCAACGAGGCCGGCAGGTACGTTCTGTCACTGGGTGCTCTCGGGGCATCAGGGCTCACTGAAGATATGTGGATCATTTCCTCATAAAGGCTCTTTTGCAATCAACCAAAAAGAAGTGAAAAGCAAAAAAAAAAGGAACTGCATCGTCTGAACAGGAGGATTCACCTTACCCAGAGTGGAATAATGGCAGCGGATCCAGGAACAGACGCCAAAGCAACATAGGGACTATCTATCAGCCTTTGGCATGTACAGCTCAACAAAAGCAGGCGAGCATTCCATAACCATGTGCCTTTCTAGTTCGTATCGCCCACAGAAAACACCTCGTAGCTCATGCAGTCAAGGGAAGGAGAGCCCAGTTAATCTAAAGTTAGCTGCATTTTGGCTCACAGTGAGACACATGATGCTGTTTGGACGAATCACAGATAATGCAGACGCTGAAGCATGTAGATCTCTCTCTCACTCGCGTTCTCTCTTTTTTTTAAACGTGTGAGGAATGATTAAGGGTGTGGTTGTATCATACTTTTGGCTGTGGACAAAGAAGGACTGTAATTTATTTCTGTGTGAGGAGTGAGATCACCGTGGAAGCAGACAGGGACGCAGACTGAGAAGGGAATGGGCTAAAAGGGGAAACCTATAATAATAATACCTCCAGACGTTTAAACATGTTTGACTAGACATCATACAGAAGGGCCATGTGAGGTCAACGTGGGTCTCACGGCTTTTCCTCGAGTGAAGAATGTGTTACACCGCAAATATACCAGCGCTCAGCATATAAGAGCAGTCATGTGGAAGTCCCGAGGCTGCGAAGGAGGGGAGGAGCCGCGACACTACTGCTGCCTTAAGTAAGAAAGATGAAAGCTGGAGTGGGAGCATGTGTTTGAGTGAGCATGTGCCTGTATGTGCAAGGCCACAGAGTGTGACAGCACTTAGACTGGATATAAAACGTGGCTCATTGTCCCCAAGCCTTCACGGGGCCTCAGGTGGTATGGCATTCCACTAGTGGGAACTCCCGCTGTGGGGGGTGTCAGAGGTCAGGCAGCCACTCCCTGGGTAATGGACTGACACCATTCAGCTCAGCAGTAGTAAAAACACACGACTTGTTAATTCGGTGTCGGATTTGCAGCAAACAAAAGCAATTAACAGAACGAAAAATGGGCAAAGGGAGGCAAGAAAATTAATCAGTCACTTTTTCTATTAACTGAGAGCCACTTTAAGGGACAGCTTGATCAAACATGACCCAAAACATAACCTGAATGATCAAAGAAAAAGCTCCGCAGGGTGCTAAACCAGTATCAGGAGTGTGTGCTTTAGTGATAACCAATGTAAACACTGCCAGCATGAGTCCAAGGTGACCCAACTTACCCAGCTCTCCTCGAAGGTTGACCAGCTCCTGGGAGAGCTCCCTGCACTGCCTCGAGGCTTCATCACGCTGCAGGAAGAAAAAAAAAAAATGTCAACAGTCATACACATGTTCGTGTGAGCGCTACTGCAGTTTTTCAGGATCCTCACTTTAATTCCGTGTCAAGCTTGAATCGTCTCAGTCAAGATTAAAGATGAGAAATGCCAGTAATGCTGCTTGAAGTAACCAACTAATGAATCCAGTTTTCCTACTAAACACAAACAAACCGCAACAAAAGAAAGAATATATCCAGTGATAATGAGAGGAGGGGAAACGAACATTTGACATTCAATTCATGCTTTCAGTTTCACACTTGCCTTATGTCAGCTTAATGCCCTCACTTCTCCCTTTCTGAGTCAGTTTTGCAGTGTAGGAGGCTGCGCTGTAGCTGCAGTGCTCCTGCTAGACTTCAAAGTGACGCATAGAAGATCCAAAAACTGTTTATCTCCCGTCTACTACCCGTCTCTTGCCATGCTGATTCACATCAACAACCTGACACTCTACACAGCACATCGCACAGCCTGCATGATTCAATTATGCACATGAGATAAAACAGGCAAGTAAGTCAAGCCAAACATCACCTCACTGATCAGTTTACATTAGCAAAAAGGTTTCCACCCTGTTGTTCTTTTCTCTGGATCTGCATCTATTCCTCACTGCAGAATAGAACAATGTAGAAGCCAGTTACCCTCTCTGCAGCGCAGGGAGCGCTGAGGCATGCTTTGCTGCCAGAACAGCCCATGGTCCAGCCTCAGCCCGAGGCTAGGGTGCCGGAGTCCCCCCCAGTAGCTATGGAGATTCAGTACTCCAGGACAAACAGTGGTCCAGGTGGACGCACCACCTCCACACGCACCTCCTCCCAGACTGCTCTGACTACATCTGAGGCAGGACTGAAAAAGCCGCTTCACTGGCTGTGGTGAGTGACTGCGGAGTGCATTACCGTAATCCACCTAAAAAAAAAAAAACCCAAAAGGGGCAGGCTACAGTGTGCATGAGAGCAGCCTCCTCACCAGTGAGCTGAGGTCACTTTAAGAAAGCACTAAAGGCAGGCGGAGTGGAGCAAACAGATAAATTGTAGAGAGCTGTCTGACATCAGGCTGATGGAGCAGGACTTGTGCTGTGCAGTGACCTACCCAAGGGACACATGGAGAGGCTTCATTACCACCATCCCCCACTACTCATCCAAACCTACATTAAATTACCCCCTCACCCCTCTGCACCATTACCTTACAGTCTGCTGCATGACTACAGGCTGCATGGCTGCAGTCTCTACATCAGAGGATAATTTAATGCTGTGACAGATCAAATTTCCAGCTTCTGTGTGAGCAAGACCATTTACAGTAAATGTACTGTCAATAAAGGCATTTTTAAAAATAAGGTCACTTGTTGACTAACCTCCAACCACATTAGTAAGCATTCTTCTGCACTGGACTCACCAGTAAGTGTCCCTGTAGACCTGCTCCACAGTTAATTGGTTTGGTTTCCACAATTTACCGTCAGCAAATCAACAGCTCCTGATCGACAGGTAAACCGATCAATCACAGTTATTTGTCTTGAGCATGCTTCTCACACACACACACCGTGTCGATTCTTGTTATCCTTCATTAAAAGCATGCTGAGTTTTTGTCAGCAGTTTCTGTTGATTACAAATCAACTGTGTACTAAAAACATTTATTCAGAAAATGTAACAACCAGAAATAATTTGCATTTGAGTACTGAGCAAAACAGCTTCCCCCAGGGCAGCACGGCAGTGTAAGAAATCTTCATAAAACCTCCTGCATTAGTCAGAATATTTATTCTAAAAATACAGATGAAATTACAGCCTGCTGTGTTTCACTGTGCATGCCTTCGCCATTTTAATTTGATATCAGTTTCTCACTTGGTGAAGCCTCTGCACCTCTTAGGTCCTCGAGCCTGGTCCAGCAGTAGCAGTATCCCCAGTGTATATAAAGATGATACCATGTCAGGTGTAGAGTAACACATGATGCCCAACTAAGATCAATGACTAATTGCTGCAGATCAAATTCCAGTTTACTGGAAATTCTGTGACTGTTAGCAAGCAAGCAGACAAAATACAGATTGTTTATTATTTTCAGATTGTTTTGCAATTTGCTTGCATTCCTACACCATGACGTCGCTCATCTAACAGCATTCAGTGTGAGAGAAGGTGTGGGGAACCACCTCCAGAGCTGACACATTCCATCCCGACAGATGATAAGAAACAGTCCTTGCTTGGTGTTTGGCTGCGGTTTGTAACCATATCAAGTCAACAGCTGGGACATTCTCACACTACGATGGTAAGGTCCTGCCTCCTATTCTTGGTATGAAGAGTGGCCACCAGATTCCATTCTGCGCGACACGCACAAGGACTTGTCCGAACACAGGACATGCAATAGTTAAAGTTAAGTCAGTGGGAGGAGGCTTTAACAGCTGCTTCTCTGTCAGAGAGGAACAAGCATGTTTTTAATATTTGTTGATGGATTCAGTTTCACAACCCTGCCGCCCAAACAGAAGGATATGAGTCATACATCAGTGACAAAAGATTACACACTGCGCCTTAGATACCAGCTGTCACATTATGTGGGTTGGCATGAGTGTGAATTTAAACATAACGGAAAATCTGTCATACTATTATGTAAACTGGTAAATAATCTGAAAGTTGGAGGATTTGGAAACATGCCTGAAATAAAGGCATGTAAAATGCAGAAGAAATATTAAGATTCTGCACTATTTCCAGGACAGTAATCAACCTGAAGCAGATTAATGGCATTGATTATGTTAACTCCTTTGTATAAAAAAAGTCAGATTTCTTTGAGTTTCACCACTGAAGCAATGCTCAGAGAACACTCAAGTTCCAGCAGAGCATTGCACTTAATGGCTTTGTGAAAGCAGGAAACATGGCATCAGAACTAAGTCAAAGTGTCAGGAGCCAGACTGTTATTCTGAGCAAAGATAAGCTTTCAAAATCATGGCTGGAATGAAGGTTGCTAAGGGTAGTGCACTGTGTGGCAACAGACCCAAAGTGACCACACCATCAGAAGATCAATACATTAAGCTTTCTTCTCTGAGACATAGCAAATCCACTTAATCACAGACACAATCAGTAAAAGTGCGGTCAACAGAAGGCAATCTAATAGTCTAAGAAGACCAGTAGTGGCCTCCAAACCACTTCTAGATGACTGGGGTGGGCTGAGACAAAAGAGCACTTCACAAATCCCAGTTAGAGATTTGTGTTAGAAGCTGAAGGGTGTATGAGGCAGAGACAATGATACCACAGTGCATCAGCTACTCCATTCTTCAGAGACATGCGCCGACCTCTGGGTTTCATCTTTGTGGCAACACTGCAGCAGGATAATGAGTCCCAACACGCTCAAAAGACCAAAGAAGACCAAAGACTGCTGCCTTTCAAGAACTTTCCTGCAAGAAAACTAAACATTGCCGACATGACAAGAAACTCTTTGGAACGTTTGTCACATTGTTCTAGGATAATATGAGCCAATAGGTTTTGAAAAATCTATGCGGCTTGAAAGTGGCTGTCGTTAAAGCAAGAAGGAGGCAAACACATAGAAAGATATTCTCAGATTCATTCACATTTTTTAAGGATTCAACGTTTATGTCAACTATTAGGGCGTTGTTATCAATTGTAATTAAAAATGCGCTCTCAGACTTTTGGAGCCCACTGTATATTATCATCTTTCACATTATGCTCAATAAACATGAATTATTTTTGCCTTTCTGACACCTGAAATGTGACATGAGGTTCCAAAGAGGCAACTCAGTGGATTTACCCCCAAAATTGAAGCTCCTTCAGGCTTGTACTGGACTGATATGAACTCTGTCACAACTGCAGCTACCCAGAACACTGCCTTAAGAGCTCTGTCTGCTGTCAGACTCTGAAGTAAGGCAGGAGTAAAGAGAGTTGCTGTAATCTAGGCCAAGGGTAATAAAACACATAGGTGGCTTTCTGCATCACAGCTGAGAGAAACAGTGGTTTCATTTTTTGAAACAGTTCTCAGCTGCAGAATATTCAGCTCCATAATATAAAAAAGCAGCTTGTTGAAGATAAATGAGAGACATTTCTGCTGTCAGCAGTTGCTTCCTTATACTTGGCAACAACCAACACAACAAGGACCTCATAATGCACTTTGAAATTCACAGAAATCAACTGTCTGCACAGGTGTCTTGACTAACCAGCATGAATAAAAACATGATCCCTCACCTACAAACAAGGCTAGATTGAGTGTGATGGAGCTCTCTGCACCGCTGGAGGAGTCGAAGCTACAGCAGGAATGATATACACATATTAGATTCGCACTCCATTGCAAATCTAATATCTGCAGCACAGTGGTGTAAAAACCGAATGAAGATTTACGATCTTGCGCGCATTATTTTTTCCACCTGATACTGTTTATGGATTTGGCCTCAGCACACTGGACGGAGGTGGATCAACAATGTCTGGATCCAAGGTCCAGTGGAGTTTAAATCCTGGAAGATCTAATGTTTCTGCCCCTGAATCAGACCTCATATGACAAAGACTCAAATTATATTTACAAAGTAAACATAAAAACAAAGGTGACAACTCAATAAGCGGTAACAATTTAGTGATTAAATGGAAGACAGCAGATATCATCACACGTCTTTCTAGACTAGTCATTTCACAACAGTCAGCTTCCTGTGTTGTGTATAGACATAATGATATGATGTGATACCACAAAGACATCTGTAAAATTAAGCAGACGACTGAAAGAGCTTCTTACTTTTCATGTACTTCAGCATTAAGTGGCACATCGTGTCCCTCAGGTTTAAAAGATGTCACAGCTTAAAACATAAAGCCAAACTGATTCTCTCGTATTTAGCCTGTTTTCCTTCTGATGTAAAGAGTGCAAAACACCACATTGTAATTTTACTATCTCAAAACATCTGAGTGTTGATCGGGGCTGGGTGGAGGTCTGTTTGTAAAGCACTGAGCAGAATAATCCCTCGGGGCATCCAGATCCGGGAAGCCAAAAAAACAAACAGTAAGCTTAAACATCCATATTTTTAAAAAACACGTGCTTGCCTCCCTGAACAACATATGAATCCATGAGAGGAACACCTTAGAACAACTATTATTGGACACAACTAATTCAGGTCTTCACAAGACCTTCTTGTTTTAACAGGAGATCATGTTGGCCTTTTTTGTGATGCAGGACTAATTTTTGACTCAAAACCAAAACAATAATTACTGGATTCTCAGACAAAAATGATTTTCTTTGATCCAGAGTTTCTACAGTTGTTCAGTGGATGACAACAGCAGGACTGTTTAATGTTGGATGACGTCCAAGTATGTCTGTGTGTGCAGCCGTTTATACCATAACATGCACTCCCCGTGCTGTTGCTGGAAATAGAAATCTTATTTGGTCAGTCTCCTTTGTATAAACACGCAGTGTTTGATGTTGTAGGAGACAATGTCAAGTTAAATTGTGTACATGTAGTGATCAGTAGAGGATCCTTCTTCTACTCTGAACTCTGTTTGCACCTCTTTGTTTAACCACTGTATGATTATTATTTAATCAGTGTGTTGAAGAACTGTCGTGCACACTGTTGAATCTCGGTTTTATGTCAGTATCAAACTGGAATATCCTCATAACAGAGTCAATATGATAAATTCCTGCTCTGAATATTATCATGGCACTGAGTTTGACTTTATTTCGACACATGCACATTACATGAATGCTATTATATAATGAAACAGATCTTTGATGTTGAAAGACTTCTTGGACATTGAGAAGTTGCAATAGTAATGTTATTCCATAACATAACATGTTATTTACTCTCTTCTTATTTGTGAGATATTAAAAAATAAGAAAATAATTCAATATGAAATTTCAATGCTGCGTAAGTAAAGTTTTCTTACCTCAGCCAAAGCATGCTGCAGGACGATGGCGACTGCCTCAAATCTCTGGTTGCTAGCTGCCAGGAGTCCCTTGAGCTTCTGGATGATCTGGTCTTTTCTGTCATCCTTTGTGACACTTGCTGCTATCACATCTGAAGGTCCATTACTCTGGTTTGGCTGGGATGGTTGCTGCTGAGGCTGTTGCTGCCGGGAGCCGGCCTTGGATTTGTTCTTGTCCACTGCAAAAGAACATGAATTGAGTGTCGTGACAACACTGATCATCAACATACTTCCTTCCATAACCGCTGCAGGAGGCCTGACAGCAGCACCTCCCAACCCATGCAGCAAGCTCCGGTGTCAAATCCCTGGATTTTCTGCAGTCTAAAACTGTTCTGTCCAATCAGCCAGTATGACGACTCCCAGTGCTGCTTCTCTGACATAAAACTGGATCCGCTGAATGCATGTCGTTTTCCATATCCTACTTCAATCTAGCGCTCCGCAGCCACTGGTCACCAAGGACAGCTTATTTTAGCAAGGCCGTGCTACTGTAGATGTGATTTACATCAGCTTTATAAATACATCTCTGACATACAATAGCTACCATCAATCCTGTTAATGAAGAACACATTGTTTACAACGCTGAGACGTCAGAACAGAGGAACACCTCACTGACAATGTCACTGCACAGGCTGCTCAGTGGAGAGGAGGGAAAAAGGACATGATTGATAAGGAACATGTGCTCAAGTGTTTCTCGGAAAGCTCATTTTCTCTAAAGAGACTGTGTAGTGACTGTTACATAACGCAGCAGTGAGGATAGCCTGAGTCATGTCAAGAATGCCGGCTTTAATAAGCAGAATATACTGTACCACCAGCAGCCTGTGGGGATTTACACTTTGCTCTGCTTGCGGTTTGACATGACTGACAATTAGGCTTAATAACCACAAAACTGAAAAACTTTTGATGTTGCAAGTCAATTTGTAACAGTGAAAGCAATGACCAATCATCTTTAATGCTGTGTAATTTCACCTTAAACCCCAATAGTATGTAGAAATTGCCTGTATATCGTCATGGCCTTTATAAAGCACAAAACTTGGACCATAGTCAAGTTAAATTTAGATACAGTAAGCAGAGTATCATCATAACATCCCAGAATAACAGCAGCATGCAACCGTGGAATACAAAAATCTTTCTAAGCAAAATAAATGCTATATTTTGTCCGATGTTTTCAAAATAAAGGCTTCTGTTATAACAAGAGGATGTGTCTTCCATGAATTTTGTTGCATCTGCTGAGCAGACATGACTATTCTTTCCTGATTGAGGCAAAACAACACTGCAGAGAACATATTAACAGTCCTGTCTATGAGCTTTCTGTAGCTCATGATGGCCAAACTGTGGAATAAAGACACTAAATTAAGCTCTTTCTATGACAAAACAGGATCATGAAAACCAGATCCGTCATATCAGAATAATTCTATATCGCACTCATGCCACAGACGGACTTTTTGTAGCTCTGCATCAGGATGTGCGGCTCACCTTCAAGCTATTTCTCTCAGTGATTCTCTGCCAAAGTAAACTGTTGAGCACAAAAGTTGTGCCCGGCCTTGAGGGCAAACAAAATCTTAGTATTGTGCTGCAGCTGAATAGATGTTGCAACCGTCAAGTCAAGGATCAACCTTTACAATTCAAGGAGAGATCAGAATTTTAAGACTTTAATTTGATGAGCAGTTTTAGCTATAGCGTAGTCTGGATGTCATAAAGTATAATATCACTTCTGTGTTTTGAGACTAAAACGCTCTGATATACTCATATCAGCAGTTTACTACATTGGGTACATAGACTAATCTATTTATAACATCAGACAAGAGTTCGTAAACATTGAAGGGATTTTCTGAAATAACTTGTGGAATTATGCAGTATATATTTTTTAGATCCTTTAAAGCAGCCATGTCTTGCTTTCATAACAGTTTTGCGAAGTCATGGCATTTATTCGACTCGCTTTCTAAGATGTGTCTGTCACCAGAACTCTAATCTGAGGTGCTGCAAATTCAGTTTTTGAGGCTCATGAACTTTTCTTTATTTAGTTGGGTGATTCTTGCTATAATATGGATTACAGCAGCGGGATAGGGCTACATGCTGTACACCAGCACTGCCTCTGTACAGCAAACCTTCATTAAGAAGGCAAGAAGTTCCACCAGCTAACTTTTGGAAAAGGCTAACCATTCCAGGTGACCACTGCATGGAGCTGGGTAACACATTGCCACCAGTTTGAAAGCTTCCATCAAGGCAAGCAGGGGCTACTTTAAGACATCTGAAAGGAACATATTTTGGCTTGTTTAACACTTTTCTATATATTTGTTATTTCAGAGTTGTCATATCTGGAGGTTTGCTCTACAGTCTAGAAAAAAAATCTTTTCATTGGAACTTTAAAAATAATTTTAACACTTAATATAAACATGTTTCTGTTCTTTCTCTGTGTAGTGAGACCACTAAAAAAATATTTTTGCGACAGAGATCCAAACAGACAGCTGAGTCCTGAAGCTCTGCTTTCAATAATTTTGATGATGCTGCAGTAAACTAAACCTAGATGGGTTTCTTTAAATTATGATGCCCCCTGCTGGTTGAACAAAAGATACAAACAGACACCATGTAAAGCCCACCAACATAAACCATAAACATGCCTGCGAACAGAATAGACCCAGCTCTGCAACAGAATGAAGGGCTCATCTACTGCAGAGTTGCATATTGTGGTTATACAACAACATAAATCACGCTATATTAGTGAAAAATAAATAGCATCTTTTTCCTTTGTATTGTAATAGAGTTTTATGTGGTCATCAAGTATATATATTTTCTTTTTATAAATGTTTTCAATTTAAAGCAAATAGCATTTATATATAAAATAATCATAACCATCATGCTTAGGAATGCCACTTTTAGTATGTCCATATATAGAGAAACTGGCCGTGCTTGTATCCGAGACCAGGAGTGGACATTATGAAACACATTTCTGCTGAATTTGTATAATTCATGATCTCACCTACATGAATCATTCAAAAGGATCTAAAAAGGTAGCAGGTCCTGGACCTTTGAAAATAGATGGCAATGATTCAGAGATTCAGATGCTTAAGAAAAACATGAGAGATAATTTTATATTTGCTTCAATCAGACGCTCATTTTGTCGGATTCTAATTCAAGTATGTCCTTAAACAAAACAGAAAAAAAAATATTCACACATGAGCATCATAGTAGTACTATATACCTTCCCTTATATTGCTTCTTTTCAATGATAATGTGTTTTTTGCTTTTTGTAAAAACACATTTTTTTTTCCAAATGAAATGTGACTTCACACAAGCGCCTCATCTCTTCCTTAGACTACTGCTCCATGGCAACAGAGGATCCGAAGCTATTTTCATCAAAGTGTCGGAACACAGTGGTGGTGACACATGTTGCTCTCGTTCCATTTCGGTCTTCCTCCCGGCCTCAGAGAATCATTTTGTAAATAACCACTCCAACTTGTACACTCAGCATCAAATGCCGGGTGATTTAGTGACTCCGTGACATTGTGCTCCGCTGCTGTAAGGAGATGTCGCATCACAGCACAAAGCATGATGGGTGATGAGACCCCTCACAATCAGCCACTTGTTATGGTGCTTGGCTGGCACAATAACAGACAATAATTCTAGTAGAAGTAGAATGAGAGCTACATAATAAATGCATGAATATAAATATAAAGTGTTTTAACTAAATGATGTATGGGATACTATAAATAATAACACTTGTCAATAATGCACAAAATAGTATCCTTGTTTTGAAAAAAACACTTGAAGGTAATTATTTCTTTCCTTTGTTGAAGTCAGAGAAAATTCTATTTAATTATTAAAACCTTAGTAAAACTAAATTACCATATTTGGTCAAAAATGCTTCGGAATGCTTTAAGTAATGTGGGAACCGCAAGATACTACGATATTCCCACAATACCGTTCACCAATCACAACAAGGTTCCCGTGCATCAACTTAGAGACCAAGAACCAAAATAACCTTGGTACATTTGAGTGAAACAGGAGTACTGGATGTCGCAGTGAGCAAGATGAAGTGCATTTTGACATGCAGTCGTATAAAAAGGTGGCCTGAAAGTAACGCGAGCCGTCCTAAAATACCAACATGACTTTAAAGAAGACAATTCTGGTGTTTGGGTAAAAATGTTTCTGAATGTCAGATTTATCTCCTAAAATACTTCTGTCCAGAGTCACACGTTTTGGGGACCAAGGTAGGTAAAATGAAAGATGAACCTCCTGCTTTACCGACAAGTAAATAGCTACACTAAAAATAGGTTTCAGGAACAGTAAACAGCAAGGGTCCCCTTGCAAGGCAAACACTGACACGCTTGTTTTATAGCACAGTGACCTAAAAACCACAACACTGTCATAACAATAACACCAGCAAAATTTAACACCGACGTAACTGACAGACCTGCTTGAAAAACGACCGTGTTCTTCCTGCATCCTGACAGCAGCTGAATGTTTCGGAGTAAACCCTTGGCTGTCAGACGCACGTGGATGTTGGACAGGGAGAGCTTCGGCGACCATAACATCTCTCAAAAACAACGCGAGACAGCCAGCAAACAAGTACTTGTAGTAAAAATCAAAAACCAGTGTCCAAATGAAGACGCACGATTCCGGCTACAAACCACAAGCCATGCTGCGCCTCCGCGTATCACGCCTCAGGTGACAGCAGCACTGATAAGGACATGCAGAAAATAAATAAATAAATCAACAAAAAGCAGTGGGAACCGTCAGTCCGCTGAGAAAGCTTTGAAAAAAGTGCGGACACGCAGTTCGGCATGGCAGGTCTCCCAACTCAAAATCTAATTCCCAGCTGTGAACACTAGAATATGCAGAGCAGGTCAAAGGCTGGCCAGTGGTTTGTGTGCCACAATCTGATAGATTTGATAGGGGCAGAGGGGGGGAGAAAAAAAAAAAAAGATAAAATCCTTTAATCCTCTTGGTAAAACCAGGCTTCAGCTATTCACCAAATACATGAATCTCTCAAAGCAGAGTAAAGCAGCATCTCCAAGCTTGGTGATGGCGGTGCTGTAGCAGAGCCAGGATGCTAAGAGGAGAGCAGAGGGGGTGGGGTAGGGTGGGAGAAAACACAGTGGGAGGAGCGAACGGCATAACGGCAGCCAATGACAATCTAATCTAGCCCCCAGACTCGTCCTCTCATTCACTCCCTTTCCCTGTGGGATGGCAAAAGATGACAGACTGCTCATGGTAAGGCTTCGTCTGATAACTGAAAATGAAAACAGCGCTGTTGGCCAAGCTGTCGGTAACAATGTGTCCTCAGCTATTATTGGGGACGTTGCTTAATCCAACACGGACACAATTTGCTGACAAATCGAGGGTTATATAATGAAGCATGTTTTTCATCTAGTTTCTACCAAACTGTGAGCTCCACTAGGCTGCAATGAAATTGTAAAAGACAAAAAAACACAAGAGAAGCCAAAAATATTCACAAAGCATGAGTCATGGACAGTAACAAAAGCGAGTAAAAAAAAGAATACACAATACAGCTTTAGTGGGATTATACCAAGGACACGAGGTTTTGATCTGAATTAGCACAAAACATACCAGGTTTACTTGAGTAGATTTTCCTGTACCACACCTAGAAAACTACACGAGTAATGGCTATAAAAACCACCATGTATCTGTGTGTGTTTTTTGGCTTTAAAAAAAAAATCCAAATTTGTATTTACAGTTAATATTTTTCAAAACAGATGCTAGATCAGGCAAAAACTGACAGGAGAGGACAGTGTTTTTGGAGGTCAAAGCAAATACAATATTATGATAATGTACCAGGTCTCTATTCAGAAAACTCAATGTTAACTTAATAATTAAAATAGAAAGCATGAAAGCACAATAACATGCTTTTGTGTCCCCCTCACAAGTCATGTGGACAAATTAACCTAAAACTCAGGTAACACACATAAGAAATCAAAGTGATGCATTTTTTTAGGAGAAAACTCTTACCGGGCCCACCTGAATTTGGTTGAACAAGTCTTGCAGAAGCGGTCCTTTTCAGAGGAGTGAATTTGAATTTGACTCCAGAATTCGATGCTCCTCTGTCTATGGAAGCAGCAGGCTTGCATGCTGTGGTCAAAGCTGTTACGGACAGAAGATTGAGGTGAGAAAACAGGCTGGAGCTAGTCTGGCCCATTGTGAAGCTGGAAGGTTGGCAAATGTGTACCGTGAACCGCAAGCTGTTTATTTAAGGTGGAACTAGTTCAGGGGGCTTGATCAAAGTTCAGTTATCCAACAAAGACACGATGATTTAATTCAGTCAAGATCACAGAGCCCTCGTCATGTATTGTTATAACACAGTACAATCAACATCAGAGAGGAACAATAGCATAGTTTATGGCTGAGTGTTTTTAGAGGACTTTCTTCGTAGGGCGGGACTAACAGGGTTGTTATCTTATCATTGTGTGAAGATTTGATAAGGGCTGCAAAAATCAATCTATCTTTCATAACGAGATCAACGGGAGATAAAAATCTGATCATAATTTATGCTGAATAACTAAAGAAAAACACATCAGTTCTGAACTGTAAGAGTGTATATGTGTGTGTGTGTGTGTGTGCGTGTGTGTGTGCGCAGAGTTGCAATCTCACTTGGTCCAGTGGTTTTCCCAGGGGTTGAGCCGAGCCGTGCCTTCAGGACAACAGCTTTGAAGGAGGTTGGTTTATGTGCAGCTCCTCCAGAAACTGTTGGACAAGTAGAGACATGCTGGTTACATACTGCACACTATGCCAATTACAAACACAAATTACAAATGTGTTTTGTGGCAGCACATGAAAATGATCATTACCCCATTATCCCTCAAGTCTGAATACAGTACTGCTGTCATTACCACTGATGTCAATCTCATCATTGTGGTTTGCAAGAAAATCACATGAATAAAGAGGATGTAAACAGATCATTTCTGGTGCAACCTCTTAAAAATGTAAGCAAGAAAATATAAACATTGATGTGAAAGAAACTGAATTACAAATGCAATGTTAATATGACTAAATGTATCATAGCAAGATGCAACAAATGATTGATGGATTCTATTTTATAAACAATACTGTATCTCGGCATGACAAACACAAGGTTATGTCCTCCATACAGAAGTGATTCAGGTATTAGAAACAGCAAATGGTTCACCATGACAACCCCAGTTAGCAGTCAACTGCCAGTCTCACTCACTTCTCCAAAGCTTTCTATCTTTTCCATTAAATGCAGCTAACAAAGGGATGATACCAAAGCGATAGGATCCAATGAGCAGGCACGTCAGCAAGGTGAGATCACAATTGGATGCTGCGCTGCCTTGTGCGAGTAAAGAAGAGCTGTTGTAAACGTGAGCTGGAAATTCCGTCCAAGTGCAGCTTCTAGGTCCAGTGTAACCAGCCATTGGTGTTTGATTTTAAAAATGGAAGGGAAAAAAATCTTTTTATCCACATCAGACGACATCAGTTGTAGTGTATGTCTGCTCTCCCTCCTCCAGGCAACACCGTGTGTGAACTAGAGTGGAATAGAACCCGTTGTCGTGACAACGCTGCAAGGGGGGGTCCCCAGTTTGGAAAACAGGTCCTCTCAGCCAATCGCAGACCTGCATGCTGTTGAAGATACTGGGCGGAAAAGCCCACCATATAAAAGCACTCCTTCCCGCCATACAACACACCACTAAGTAGCAAGCTCTCATTAGAACCATTTACATTATCAACAGATGATTTTCTTACTCTAACCTGGGGTTCGGCTCTTTTTTTTTTGAGAGGTTTGGCAGCATTGCAACTGCATTCAAGGAACAGTTTAAAATAAAGACATCTAGAAAATGTCATGTGTTTAGAATCTGAAGCTCCTGCATCTCTGCAGATGTGGAGAAATCAGAGAACGATTTGCCCAAGGGGAGATTTATATCCAAGCCCAGACCTGAAGTGGGTCACCATGTAAACAGCAGCCCCTCCCCTTCTGGTCCAGATGTGTCCTTATAACCCACACAAGAAAAAAAAAAGTGTGGTGTGATCCTTGAAAACAGTCTGCATAAAACTATTATTAGGGACTAAACATCCATTTCTAAAAACTATATAACTTCTTATTAGGCTCACCTTGTGCATTCCCAGTGCCTTGACCCGGCTGACTGTGAACACTGGCTTCAGTAAGGCCCCTTGATGGCCCCAGGGTCTTGCGTAGTAGTCTACAAGCAGGAGTAGGGGGTGGGCCCATAAGAGGGGGCCGAGTGGGAGTCTGAGGAGGTCGGGATCCATTCAGCTGGGTCTTAATACTTGCTGCTGAGGCAGTTCTAAGGGGTGTCTCTCCTGTTGCCTGCGCTCTCTGACTGCCTGAAATGTAATGAAGAACAGTAAGGTCAGCAGTATGAACCTCTTACAGGTTCACAGATGTCAGCACAAGGAGTCATTTTCAACAGATGTTTATGATATTATTGAAAACAAGACAAAAAAAATAATATTTATGAGATATAAACTACATTTACTAGCACAGAAACTAGTGTAAAGATCCCTAGAAGCTGTTTTGAATTGTCACTGAAATAGAAGTTGGACAGAACTCACCAATGTCAGCCACTACAGTGAACATGTCAAATGCTATCAGTCACAAAAGAAATATTGGAGTACAAGCTAAATAATATGTCCGTCTGGAGTGTTCCCTTTAGCTGGAGCAGGACAATGTCACTGCACTTTACTGTGCTCAGGGCAATTGTTTTAAACATTGTGTTCTCACTATAAAACCACTGGTGATCTCAAAACCTCCCTTTCCTTCCTCTGCTTTTTCCACCAGTACAGATGGCTTCCCATCAGTGGAAGAGTCCCCCACCTTCTCCAGGACTCCTCTTACTATGTAGAGCACTAACAGAGCAAGCTGTCTGTTTACGCCAAAGGGCAGGACAAGAGACCGGAGGTGACATCTGTATCCAACACTGTTGCTTTGGAACATGGCTGAGTTCATGCAGGGGGGAATACGCCCTCTGATGGGGAGACTACGTTACAACAACCTACATTATTCCAGTTTACAGCAGAAGAGAGCTCAGCGAATATTGAACTATTAACATAGTATTTATAGTTTGAATCCGTCAGATTTTTTTTCGAAAACAACAGCTGCTGTAAAATTAGTAATTTAAAAATGTTTAACCGTGATGTTGCTGTATCAGCTGGAAAACAGCACTACGTGACTCTTAAAGTCAGCTGCTCTGCTCAGCCTTCTTTCTTCATACACAGGGTTGATCAAACCTATTACACAATTGTCTCTGTTTACACAACAGAGGAAATACTGAGGAAATCATTAGGTCTCGGCATTGTCAAAGGCAGGTCATATGGCTCATGAGGGTGTTGACTGCGACCTCCTGTCAGTGTCAATGTATTGACATTTACAGGCCAACTTTGCCCCCTGTGAGACAACTTCCCACTAACTGTTAAGGCTTCTACAATGTTACCAGAGGCTAAGTTTAACCTGACATCACTTCAAACCATGACATAGATTTATTCATCTCAAACAAAGATGAGCCTTACCTGTATTGCTCTTCTGACTGGACTGAGGTGTCCCTACAGATCTGGAGGTTCTGCATTCATCCCTCCCCGGGACTCCCGGTCTCTGCCTGGCTGATGGAGCGGTCGTTCTGGGACTGGCAGCAGGAGTTTGTGGAAGTGGTGTTCTTCTTGCTTGTCTGGGGGAAGGTTGCCCTCGAAATCTTCTACTTCTGTCATCCAGTGGCGCTGCTGCTGTTGCTGAATTGCTGGACTCCAGCTGAAAAGAGAAAATAATTGTCACTCAGCTGCTCAGCTCGATACAGTTGGCTCACAACACACACACAAAGACGAAAAGACATTTTTCATATATTATCATCTACTCTAAAATAATCTTTCTGTGTACTAGTTGATAAAACATTCATGGCACTTTCCTACAAAGTATTTAAGCTGCAGCAGCATATATTATATTAACAGTTCTTACAAATAAGTATTTGTTAACAATAATAATAATTTATAATTGTTCTCATTCGAAGTCCATGCAGTATTTACTCACCACCAGGCTGATCTTCTTAACCTCTCTCGGTTCGTTTGTTTCCTCTGCCTGTATGGCCTGTTTATTCTGGGATGAGCAGTTCAGATTTCCTGGTTTGGTTTGGCTCTTGTGGGTGTCAGGTTTGGGAATAGTGAAGCTAGTTGAGGACCTTACAAGTGTTCTCTCCTTGGGTGGCCTAGATGTTGATGATGAACTCTCAGACGAGCAGCGAGGCCGTGTCTTTAGCACAGGAGGCTTGCCTTGACCTAAAGCTGAGCCTGACCTGACCTGAATCTTGTTCAACACACCCTTCTTTGGAGTTGGTTTAGGATCTATTTGGCCACTTCTATGAGGGGATTTTTTTAGGGATGAGAAGTTGCCAGCATGCTGAGCTGAGGGGTCTGATACTTGGCTTGAGGCTGCCTGCTCTGCTTCAGAGCTGGCATTACTGCGCTGGACTGCTGAAGCACGGTCAATTGCATCTGGGTGGTGGTCAGGTGGGGACTCAGTGCTTTTTCCGTGTCCATCCACAACAGTTTGTAGACAGGACTGTGTCGCTGCTACCCCCACATTAGCAGCTCCTGTATTAATTTGTCTCTGAGCATCATTAACCTTTTTAGGGGTGGCAGACACAACTGCAGTGCTGCTCCTTACTTTGGTCGGACTAGTCGTTCCTCTGGGTGCTCCAGTATGCTTATCATTCACATTAACTTGTGATGGTTTGTGTTGTGAAGCGCGGCCTGGCATTGCAAACTGATGTGCAATTCTTGTCATGACTTTAGATTTTACACTACTGAAGTCTGACTTGGGAAACTTTTTAATTTCAAATTTCTTAAATTTGCTGGTTGAAGGAGGCAGTCCGTTCACCACCTGCTGTTTTGGAGCGACAGAGATTTGCTGCTGGTTAACAGGGTGGAGCGATGGGCTGCTTGTGTTTCCAAGGCAGGGAGACTCTGAAAAGGAGGGGAGGCTGGGTATCTTGTTCCCAATGTTTTGTACTGGAGTGGAAGTATGAATATCATTAGCGCTTCCTTGCATAGCTGGCAGAGGGGACACAAAGGTCTTGCCTTGTTCTGGTGCAACTGCTCCCAGAAACTGAGGCGACAGCTCTGTCTCAGCACTGGCAGACTCAGTTTCTTTTCTGCAGTGTTCTGATGTTTCACAGATAAAGGTCATCAAAAGACCCCCTTCATTCTCACCAGGCAGAGCTACAAGAGAGTCTGATGCTGCTACGTCATTTTCATCAGTGACGAGTGCCAAGTTGTCTGCCTGTGTGAAAGTCACGCCAAGACAAGAATGTCCTGTGTTTTCCTCAACGATTCTTTCCACGGATTTTTCACAAACATGAGTGATTGACAGCAGGTTAGATTCAGCAGGCAATGCTGGACTTCCTGCATCAGGAGCAATGGATGATTCCTCTAAGGAAGAGATGACTAAGAGTGACTGGTCCTCAATACAGAAACTGTTTCTTCTCACTACCATTTCTCCAGAACTCAGGGAGCAGCAGTCATTCTCAACAGAGCCTCTACAGGAAGTCTCACATGAACTCAGCTGGCTCTCCCTCCCTGCAGAGTCTGGAGACATCACTGCACTGTAAAATTCATCCTCTGCGTGCTTAATGAAAGTCTGACTCTTCTCCGAGCCGATCTCTTCATTGCTCCTTAAGGTCAACGTTTCATTCCAGAAAGTTTTACTGTCATTTACAGATGTGGCAATAAAAGTTTGGTTCAGGTTCATGGTTCCATCATGGTGCCCGTCGCCCTGCATTAAGGTGCTGCTGTAGAGGTTATCCACGGGGGAACCATTGCTACGGCAGCACTCCAGCATATTGATGTCAGGGGAGCTGCTGGCTTCTCTGTCACTCAGGTTAGAAATACTACTGCTGGAGTCAGGTGACGCAGACATGGACATGTAGGGACTCTCAGGAGAGAGGGCCAACTGTAGGCCTCTGTTGGAGAGAGGAACTGTGCCCTCACCTTGGCCAATGTTAAATGTCTTATTAGACATTTTGGAGCTCTGATAGGATTTTGCCTTCCTGTGTAGATTAAGGTCTGAATACCCTTTCATTCAGTTATCAGCACTGTCATCCATCGAATTTGTTGACCAGGCAGGAACATCTGTAAAGAAAGGGAGAGGGCCACATTTTTAAATACAGGCAATTACGCAATCTATGCTGATACCGTTGCATTGTTATAAAATGTTGTTAAAAAGAAATGGCTGTGTTGTCATTGGTTAACACATGGGTTAAGATAAGTAGCATTGTAAAAGACTATTTTGTGTCAGCAAATGTGGCTGGCAAATTCATGACTAAGGGAAGTTAAAAGAAAACTGTATAACTATCAGTTAACATTTTATCTATATACACACACGTTATACAAATAAACAGACCATTCCAGCAAACTGCAGTGGGATTAAAAAAGGTGTCAGTTCTGAAAATAGGGCCTTGCTTTGTTTTGCAACACACCACACTTTGGACATAGTTATGATACTAAAGCTCATTTTAACAGCGCTATAAGCTACTACAGCCACAAACAGCTACGATAAAAACGGCTACCTTTTTCTATAGGGTATACTTTACATGCCAGCCAAGAGTGAGAGGAGAATATCAATACCACGATTACTGCTGCCGTCTCTGCTGAATCATGGTTTCATAAAAGCTTAAACGCGAGGACGGACCTACACTTATGAGCCATATTTCTACTCTGAAATGGGCCACCAGACATTTAAAATGAGGAGTAAACAGCTGTCGTAACTGCTTTGCTGTGCACTGTTGTGTTTATTTAAGCAGGCTGGACTGCAAAAGCTTGCCAGCCACTATTACAACAAAGGCACCACTGTGGGACGTACCACCAGAGAGTAAGATATCAGGTCGCAGACGGCCTGAAAAATGCCCAATCTGTAGACTCCAGACATCCTACTGCCTTTAGGAAAATGGAACACTTGGATGTAAACTTAAAATAATAAATAACCTAAAGATGATTAGTGAAGGAGCAACTATATATTTGTCAAGTTGATCAGATCAACAGTTTTCAGACAGGATCGGCGAGGCAACTGTTATTATCGTTAAACACACCAAACACACAAGTCTATAACTTGATTAAAATGCAACTGAGCTCAGGGTTTCTCTCATGTGTTGGAGCGTTCAACTTTAAAATACCACCTTTCTACAGAAGAACACCAGTCATGGGAAAGAGTTCAGAAGGTACAGCATGTTAACCTCAGGTAGTAACCTGCTTGCCTTCGACTTGTTCGTGTTTTTCTACTAAGATCGATGTTTCTGAAGCACCGTGATCAAAACTGCTGTATCATCTGGGTGCAAAAAAACCCCTTTTCTTTCTCTGTGCATTGGGGTCCAAATAGGGCTCGACTTAAAGGGTTAAAGATACCTGTAGTTATTAGATCCCTGACAATATTTGAGGTGCAAGCTTGAGGTCCACAAAACTATAATTATATTGACTGTTTTAGTCAATATCTGAAGCTCCTTTACAGGATAGTTTTTATGTTTTTAACAAGACCTACAAATGATACAGCCAGCAGTGTCAACTCAAATATACTGACACATCCTCAAACCAGACACTGTGATAGAGAAATAAAAAACCAGACATCCTGTGAAAATAAGCAATGATTTTAAGCTCATGCAAAATTTCCACACAAACTTCCCTGTGTGCAACAAAAAATGTTTACTCAGAAACAGTATTTATAAAAAAAATAAAAACTACCTGTCCCTAGTAATGAATGGACCAGTCATGCTTCCCTTCAAAGCCTGCACATATTAAAACGTTTTATAGCAATATTTCCAGCAAACATATAAGGCACAGTAATAATTAGCAGCTTATATTTTAATTGCTTTACTTGCAGTGCTTTCTGCTGATAAGATATATTGAAACAGCTTTGCTTTTATCAGCAGGCCAAGTGTTCAAATAAAAAATGAATAATATGTTTGTTTAACAGGCAGAGAGACAACACACCTTACTGTGCAACACAATCAAAGGAAATTCAAGGGAAATACTAGATACTCGTATATAGCCCTGTCAAAGTGCTGCACACATTGAACCTTGGCATGAACTGTACTTCCAAGGCCACTGCAGTAGATTCCTTTGTAAGATAACAGTAAAGAGCAGGGATTTCGTTGGTTACAAATATGACTGAGCGTGGTGTGTTATATAAGGTACAAAGTGCACCTGAGACAAACCATGACATGCCAATGTTTATGGAAAAATAACACCATGAGATTCAAGCAACAAGACACTGAGCCGACAGACAGAAGAAAAAAAACGCAGGAAAACAATGCAACTAGTCTACAACACTTACTTTTCAATCGAAATATGTTCAACTACAGAATGAGCAAACTTCCAGTACCTGCATTCGTCTCCTCTCCATTAAGAGATTTGCAGTGATGAAGAAAATTCCTCCACAGTCAGCTGTGTTGCCAGTTATCTCACGTCAGAGATCACTTCGTTTTTGCAGGTTCACTCCACTCATTTTAGCCTTTCAGACACAATCCCATTACTGCTTTCATTCGGAAGCAGTAAATCCAGCCAAGTGAGCAGACAGTGGTGGTAGAGTCGGCCCTCGTCCCACCACTCCTCCCTCCCTGCGCTCAGAATCAGCCGTGCATCAGTAACATCACAGCCTGAATGAGGGTGCCCCCTGTGCAGTTGTGAGCTTCAGTTTTTTCTCCCTCCCCGTTCTGAGGTAACGTGACTTCGTCCTCCAGGCCCACTGCAGCAGCGGATCAGCAATCTCTCCGACGAGCTCAGACAACATCAGTAACTTTGCTGCCCGCTGCACCGCCTATGCAGGCATGTCAAGTTCCAGCTCCGTGTGGAGTTCTATTCCTCAAGTTCACAAAAGGAGCAAGTGGGAAAGAAAGCAACGTGTTACCTTATACATGCCGAGCCCAGTGGAAGGGGAGGGGCCACGGACTGCCAGACAGAGTTGGCATTCACTGTTGCTAAGCAGCCAAAGTCCCTCTTTTATGAGGGAATGGATCAAGCAGCTTTTTAGCATTGGATCTGAAAAGAGGAGCGTAATGGCGGGAGGCCTCGGTGCAAGAGAAAGTTGTGCTATGACCATTTTTAATAGTGAAACCCAACAGAAACTTGCATATAAACTCACACACTGTAAGACGGCAGGACTCCTCTCAGTGTCGCTGTAGCTGCTCTGTTTTCGAAAAGTTCTCCTCCGACAACATCACTGTTTGATGACATAGTCTCATGTTGTACACAAACAGCTTGACACCTGATCCTCAGTCTACAGCAGTGATGTGACACCAGAGTCTAAGACCCCTAAGACCCATGCTATTTCTGCTTAATCTATACAAGGTCCGTGACCCGAGGGACTACAGTCTAATCTTGACTGGAGGCAAGATGTAAATCATGGTACAGAGTTGGCTTATTATCTCCTCAGAGTTTTACGAGTTAGTCTTTAATCCCGTGAAATCTGTAATTAAAGCATTTCAGCAGTGGTTTTTAAGTAAAGCCGTTTACCAAGAATGCAGAAGTGATGTCCACTTTTGGGAGAATTTAGAAATACAGCTGTCATCTAAATGTTACACACTACAATGTACTTTCAAAACAAGCAGGATTGCTAGCCAAAACCTCTGCCAGCTGCTAAGTGTCCTGGACCCTCTGTTTTGAGAACCACTCTGCCTTGTTAAACAATAAAATAAAGTTGATTTTATAACTTGTTAAGATTAATAGGCAACAAATGCAATTTGCTTGATATGGGGTCAAACAAAGTATCTCTGTTCTTCTTGAGAGAAATTCAATGCAAGTTGCTGCCTTCAAATTGAATCATATTTAAAAGTCAGAGTGACAGCAATAGAACAATGCTTCTCTTTTTATGAAGCCCCCTCGGGCACTACGCAGAGCGCCTCGAATGGCCTTTCGCTGGCTTTGCATGGGTGACTGGACATATCAGTATCACACAGTGAGCAGTTACGAGTAGCGGGGCCAGCCATCAAAAGCCGAGGCGCAGCACTGCTCCACACCACAACAGGGCAGCAGGTCAAACTGGGGGATTCCAGGCAGCACAGTGCAAGGACAGGGCTTTGCTCTGTAGAGCACAGGACAACAAAACCACACCAATGAGCCTGGTTAGAGAATTGGCACGGAATTGCGTTTCAGCATCAGTTCGTCTGAACCAGCAATAAAGACGTAGGACTTTGAGGACAAAGCTGTGAGCCTATGCCATCTAGTGAAAAACAAAAGGTGTGCATCAGCAGTTGCGCAAATACATCCCAGTTCGCTCTCTGATTCAAAACGGTGATGCACACACCGAACATACAACACCGAAGCAAATCCACTTTAAGAGCTGAACATTTCCATCTATTTATAAAAGGTCAAAAACAGCAAGCTCTACATTATGTTAAGAATTATTTTTCTCATATCCTGCAGGCTCAATCTGAAATACTGTATCGATATCCAAGAGTAGGGATGAACAATTAATCCAAGTATTATCACAATCACAATGTGGCCAAGTGCAACATCCAGATTGTAAGAGCTGCAATTTATTTATTTATTTATTTTTGGACAAAAAAGGAAAATATGTCACAACATGCCATTATAAATGAAGCATTTCAGTGCTGCTGAGATGTCCTGGCCTAACAATCCTTTTCTCCAGACATCAGGGAACAAGCTTGTTTGGTACAGACCACAGCCAAAATCACACCATCATCATTTTTATATTTGTTTCAGTAGAAAACAAATGCAAAAATTACCATTTCAACTTCTATTACAACTCATTTTGCAATTGCAATATCTGTCAAAATAATAATATCATGGACTTGTAGCATATTGCTCAGCCCTTTTCAACTGGATGCCATGGTAACTCTGCGGTCACTACACTCTTGCAGATTAAATATTAATAATTCAACCAGTTTGCAAGCAGATAATTAGGAAGCCACCTCATCCAGGGTGTGCATTTTAAAGGTATAGAATGACATGAATGATTGATGCTGGGTGTATTTGCAGTACCTCATCCTTTCCTGGCCCTCACATGAAGTCACTTGTCCAGCAATTTCTCATAAATAAGGAAACAACTTGGCCCTCGGCACCTGACAGACGGATTATCCCCGTGTGAGGCCTGCTACTGGCCACTTAGGTCTAAAATTAAACCAGTAGTAAACATAGTATGCTGCCACAAATAGCAAGGAAAACACTCTTTCAAGTCCTTGTGTGGTTTGTGGTCTGGTAACACAACACCTCTGAATAGTTAATAAATGGTGACACAGGCAGACTGCGGTCCGATAGCAACATATATTAATGTCAACGGTTTGGGGAAAAAAAAAAAAACGGAGCAAAACAAACAGCCGTTGACAACTTTAGCTAGCTTACTTTTAGCTAACGTTATTTTCACTCGATATGTGTAACTTTTATACTTCATGTGTAGAATTTAAGACGTTAAATAAGGGAATATAAAGTACAAAATGCCTTACCTTGCTTACTTGCATGGCATTTCTGTCACAAGGTCAGCAGCGGAGTTCGTAAAATGCGCATAGTTAAAGTTTAAAAGCAAAACAAGCTACCGGACTAGCTAGCGGGCTACCTGTCACGAGAGCGAGCAGCGTTGACGGGAGCGCGGACGAGGCCTCGGCCAACAATTAGCGTCAGCCGGTGGTTTCTGTCTTTTTCACAGCTTCTCCATGTTCACGCTGTCATCTGTCAGAAACACACGCTGCTCGAACCAGAGTTCAACCAGGAGGGATGAAAACACGCTGCTTGACCTTTGACTCCTCCGAGAAACAATGCGGGTGAGTTGGCGTCCGCGTTACTGAGCAACTCAAGTAAATAGTTGCATTTGCCGTTTGGTCAATAAATAACAATGTCTGTTCCTTTTAAAATTTAAAAAATTGTGTAAGTTATAACTTTAGTTTATTGATACTGATATTTTGAATTCATGACTTAAAAATAAGTCAAATGTTGACTGTTCAGGAATGTTTAGCCGACAGTAGCAACGAATTCAAGCTAGCTATGTAGTGCTAGCGCAAGCTAATATAGCGTTAGCATCACATAAAGTCAGCTAATTAGCCTTTCAGACAAATAATACATTTAATACTTGTGGTTCGAGATTTTATTCGTCTGTTAGATAATAGTGTACATTATTTATCAGAAATCTAACATTAGCAAGGGTAGAGTACTGCTATTACACTAAAACATCTGAGAATTTATTTTTGCTTAAATTAGTGGACAGCAAAGAAAATTTTGTCCATGTATATTCTTATAATAAAACACATAGGCTTATTTTGTAGTGCCAGAATGCTGTCTTACCTCAAAATCACCCCTTTTGATTTCCAGCAAAGTGATCTAAATAACATTTAAAGGTTAGTAGGGTCCATATCCTCCAAGAGAAGACCTGAAAATAATTTTGACTATATCCAATGTACAGTAGGGAAAATATGGTGGAGGGGCTTCTTACATTGGAAGAGCATCTTACCCAGTTGACCTGAACATTTTAGAGGGAATCATTGTGCTTTCCTCCCCACTACATTTGTCTGACAGCTCCGGTTGCCTTAAAGATGAAGATTTTTAAGTGGATCATATGACAAACTGATAAAATACAGGACATTGGTAAAGATTAAAACTGGGATTTCTAGCATTTTTCCCTTTATGCAGAAAGCATTATATAGTCAGGGTCATGTCTCAAATGCCTGTGAGTTAACAGTGACACCAAATAGTGATTTCAGTAAATGTGCCAATGATCCAATATCTAACCAGAAATCAAAGATCAGAGAAAAAGTCATATTTTTGGCTGTCCCTATATATAAAGTTACATAAAGTAGCTCAAACTTTCTCCACCTGCGACAGCTCCAACACTAACCTGCTGCTGACACGCTTCACTATTAATAAAATAATGTAAAGTATAAAGAGGCACCAAGCCACTACTTCCACTTTAATAGTTTAACTACATTTTATTGCTTCTATATATTTGCTTTACTTAACTCAGTAGATTTTTCATGCAGTACACCTATTTGTAATAGAGCATTTTCACATATACTGTATTGGTACTTTCACTTAAAGATCTGAATACTTCTTCCACCCCTGAACATGTCATAGCACCCTTTTTCTGGTATAGAGATCAACCATTTGATATCATCAGATTTTATTCATTTAAATCCGGATGTACAATAATTTAATTACATGATCATAAGCCATATGATGCCAGGAAGCAAATCTATGTACAATATAAAAAGTGCATTGTGTTAACAGAAAGAAATAATGAGTACACACTGACAGTCCTAGGAGACGGGAAGGGAAGCCTCGTATCAAGTCCACAGGCAGGAAACAGACAAGATTTTCTCAGAAATCAGACTTGCTTTCAAAGAACCATTATGTATCAGTAATATCAATCAAATGTACAATATTTATTTGTATGATAATATCTGTTATTTTACAACATCCATTTTTAGAAGATACTACTGTGCTTGTTGATAAAATGTGGCATCATTCAGAAAATCTGTATACTGCATCAGGTTTGTCAAAAATTAGTTTTCAGTTATTATAACAGAGGACCAGACGCTACATGGTATGAGTCGTTCCTGATGGATCTGCAACACAACATAGATGCTACCTACACTTGTCATTCCCACATGTAAAGGTAAAGCAGGATAATAACAAATTAAACTCTGCTATTTTGTGACTCTTCCTGTTATCAGTCTGAATGGATTAATTACATGGATAGGTGCAGGACAGTATCACAGACTGATACATCAGGCCACTAAGTGCATGAGACACATAATCAATGTACCAGACTAACATAAGACATGATTATTGTTCCACATCAGTTTTAGGCCACATCATGGCTGCTGTCCATTAGTGGGGGGGTATGAGGTGGGACTCCTGGTCCAAAAGGCAAATAAATGTGCAGACTCTCAAAGTGGGGGGCAAGGAAGGAGGCAGGAGGAGGAGAAGCAGCATGTGTATTCCAGCAATGTTGAAGCAAGAGGTGTAAAGTAAGAAATGCTGTTTTTCCATTTGTGTCCATTAGCGAGCAGAGTTGAACAAGCACTTCTCCCCCTCGTCCCTTTTTCTTTTATCTCCCGCTCTTTCATCCCCACTCTCCTCTCATTTGACACATGTTGGCCAGCTGAGGCCTCCACAGGCAGCAGACACGATAATGTAAAGGATCACCTGAAAAGAGCACAGAGACTAAATTCACCTCCCGAACAACCGTCAAGAGAACTGATCACAAGCTGAGACGTGCAGTGACGACGACTCATAGAAGGATCTACGTCACGATTAGACAAAAAGAGGAGATCAGTGCAGTACAGCGGAGTTCTACACAACAGCTCAGCCTCATTGCAGCTAAAAACAGATATGCACTGTTTACTTCTAACCAAGGGCACTTCAACAATTACCACTACTGTCTTTACTCACCAGGCACACCAGCACAATAACAATAGTCAGCTTGAGGTTCTTCATACACATGGCTCGCGCAAGATTACGACTCGTGGTCTTAAATGTGACCGACTGCAGGAGGGGAGAGAAAAAAAAACACATCAGTGAAAATACTTGTGGATAAGTAGCTTACTGCATTACTGTAAAAATATATCCCTGTTTACTGACAAATGTGATTGATTAGGAAGTGGAAGAGTGAACAGAGCATAAACACTGTTTATGGAACTCACTGAATCAACCAGATTTTCCGTTTTGTCAATCAGTAGCTCCAGTTTCTCTCCTCTCTGTGCTACCAAGTCTGTAAAAAGAACACCAAAGGAAACCAAAGTTAATTTGGGACGTACAAAAGGTCTAGTGTGATGACGTTCACATCAACATGGTGGTGAAATCAGACTGACATCTGAGACAGCAATCCTCCAATTATCAGCACTTTTAAGTAGAAAGTTGTTAGATCATTTTTTTTAGCCAGAACATTAGCTTTGGGCACAATGAACAACAAATACTAATTCCTCTGTGTCACACCAGTATTACTCACTGGTGCAACCACAACACACACTGCATTCATTTAAAAGTAAAAAACACACATCACATGAGTTCTCTGATTTGTTGGCAGTTTTATTTTATTATTATCATCTCAGCCCTGTGTTCAGAAGGTGTGTGTTCGGCATTACTGCACAGAGAGAAAACTGTAGAGAAGCTCACCTATGTTGCGGACCATAATGCCTTTCAGGTCGTCCACTTGCATCTGGGTCTCGGTGACACGATCTGATCCCCGCGGGTCTGAGTGGTGTTTCTGCAAAGACAAAGAAACACAGATGAAAATGATTGTGTTTTGTTATTACTTCATCTGTATGTGCTGCGTCACTGTACAGACGACAGAAATGAAAAGCAGTCAGACAGCCCCAACAGGAAATTGTTTCTCATCACGATCAGGATGTTGTCTTGCTCACCATCTGAGCAGCCAGCGTGGAGGAAAACTCGCTGTTCATGGCGTACGGTAATGCCGTCTGTGCTCGTGACCCGTACGTCGTCTGAAAGCGCTTCTTGACTTCGCCGAGGAAGCTGAACGCGCGTGACCTCTCAAAGTCCTGCAGCAGACAAGAGTGAAACAAACTTAGGTTTAAACATGCTGATTTAAAGTGTTTATTTGGTGAACAGCGTATTTGTAAATGTACTTCTTTGCCAGCTGCTGCTAAATGAGTGTCATAAAGGGAAAATTGGCTGAGTTCTTCCGTTATATAACCTGCAAGTCCAACTTTATCCTTAAGTTAACTCGTACTAGCAGCAACAACACTGGTTTTGCTGTATTAGGTCGTTCAATGATTGTTAATCTCAGCTGAAATGCAACATTTTATCACCCAACGATAGTCTTAACTTTATTTCTATGTTCTTATTTACATTCAGATAAGAGCATTACTTGATTGAACCCATGCCCCTCCCTGTAATACCGATATAAGGGACCTTTAACCTTTAAAGAGGCATATTGTCCAACCCTCTGACACAAAAAAGCCTAACTATCTAAGCCAATTATATACTTACATCATCAGTGATGCACAGGTATATGATTCTGTCATGGCAGATGTAATGAAAGAGATAGCTAGAGAAGAGAAAAGGTTGGTTATTAGGTGAGGTGAGGTATATTATATAATAGGTCTTTTTGTTACTGAATATACAAATCAGATTACTCCAACACTGGTACACACAGGGTAACTGGGAAACACACAAAAACAGTTGTAGATATGGTTGGAGGTCCTACCTGCCGTGGCTGTAGGTCAGTTTGTTATTCTCTGAGGGAATTTTGGCTAAAATCTGTTCAGTGACTTCCAGGAAGTTCCCACCACACCAGGCATGCTTGGCCAGAATAGTGGTTCCACGAGCCACCACAGCAAACAGGATTGCCATGGCAACAGCTGGGATTTCAGCTTTATTACTCGCTGACAGAAAAAGAAAAATAACAGAGCCGTTAGTGGCGGAGCTGGAGGCAAGTAGAACAAACTGGAGAGTGCTGGTGATTGCTTAACTCCCAGCGATTCAGGTCAAACATTTCAGGGTAATGTTAAACAAATAAAGGAGAACATTTACGCGAGTACCTCAGAAATCCAAGTACTAGTTAAGTAGCCACTCAGCCTTTTGCCACCTACATAATCCAATTGTGACGAGAAATGAAAACGAAAGCCACACTAACGGTAGCTGGAGAACAACAAGCTAGCAAGCAGTGATGTTTTCTGACTAATATACCCAGCAGCGGTAGGGGTGGCAGTTAGCTGTTTACCGCAATACCGGGTACGGCCTCTAGCTACGGAACTAACGCGCTTAACCGGGATATATCAAAACAAATTAATTACCTCGATGTGTCAGCGATGTTCAAAGTCGCTCTTTTAGCGCAAATTCCCACATCTAAAGAGGTTTCGGCTGCTAGCAAGCTAGCTAATCCCTTTCGAGTGACTTCTGCTTTGCAAATCCTCCAGACCGGAAACTGACTCACTCTGGTGCTGGGTATTGTAGTCTTTACTACGGTCCGTGCCCGGCGCTGTCAATGTAACAGTTTCGCTTTTGCAACTACAACTTTTTTTCAACTACGTCATACGTATGTTATCGTCACATGTTTTCATCCAAACGGCGACGCTCCGAAGGGCCGGACGATATGACGGTAGTTTGCCCTAATTGTGGTCTAACAGGCGCCGTCTCCGTGTTGGTACAGATTAGGTGTTCAATAAAATGAAGATAATACAATATAATGACATCACATGCACTACATTTATAGGAGTGATAGCGAAGTTCTATGTAGGTCAGGGGCAGTGGTGCTCAGGTTAATCAGTATCTCGCATAAAAATGCAGTTTGTCTCACAGTTTGCGGTAATATGCAGCATATATTGTGGAAATGTTAAGTGTTGTTATGGTTAACGTAACATTAACGCTGATATATTTCTCTGTATGTTGTAGATTTGCACTGCTATTACAGATAGTGTTGTAGACATAATGTAAAGTATGCAGCTGATGCATATTGATGTTGGTTAAACACTACATCGCTGCTTTATGTTTATGATGTTGCTCACATTAGTAGGCTGTGTGCTCATACCTCCACTGGAATAAGGTCCATCTCTCACTCTGTGCACATCACAGACTGTTTTTAGGATATTATACATCCTTATTTTAGGCCTATCTAAACTATAGCCTGTATATATGTGATAATTTATGCTCCTAATCAACACACAAGTCTGAAAAAGTGGCTCAGGCCTGGTGCTCAGGTCATGTGCAATACCTGCTTTGCTAAAGCTGTTAGTTTTTTTTTTTGTTATTTTTTAAACTTCTTTTCTCCACAAATTTCCCTCAGTTACAACACGGGTAGCTCACCTGGTTAAGCATCAACAGTGAAACCCTCGCTGACAGCTCCTTGTTGTATGTCAACCCACCTTCCTGCTTCTGTTATTGGCAGGAAGCATTTTTAGAAATTGTTTATCTCTTATTCACAGCAATATAATACAGCATTGTAAATCAATATAACAGTATGATGTCCATATGTAAATCCATCATGCCTTCTCTGTACACATGTAAGGTGTACATAATCTTTATTATATCTTTACTCTTAGCCTGAATGTACTTCTGTATTTCTTATCTTGCTTCTGCCTCACTTGTATCTAGCTGCTGTCTTGTCTGGTTTTAATGCTTGATGCCTGTTTTTTTTTCTGATACGTCTGATAGCATATAACTTAGATTTCTTTAGCACTGAACAACATTTTTTTAAAACCATTATTCCTATACGTATCTCTGTAACCCAAAGCCACATTTTTTTCAGTTAGATCCTCCTTTGGTCCTTCTATAATACCTGCTCTGTCTCATGTGGTGTATTTTGTCCTGTCAGTAGTTCCTGTTTTATATTGATCCTCACTATACGCTTGACATGAAGTTGACATGTCAGCCAGGCCCATTGACCACCCTATTCGTAACTGTGTATATAAAATAGACAAACAAAAAAAAGGACAACAGTTTAGTGGCAAGAGCCAATCCTAGCGGCGCGTCCTCTTCGCCTGTCAGACAGCGGTGAGGGCAAAAACCCCACATATCTGTATTGACGGACGTAAACCGCATGTGAAGCATGGCAGGGGAAGGAGAGAAGAAAGCGGTTCTGGAAATGGTAAGAAGCGACAATGCTGTGTGGTTTGACAGTGTGTAGAGCTGCATGGCTTTTGTTTAAACCTGTTAGGAAGAAAGTATTCAGCTAGAGAAGCTAAAGGCGGTATTCTGACAGTCTCTGAACTCCTCACGTGGGCAGCTACATTAGCTAGCACTGACAAAATCCTCAATAAACTTAAGCTACACTTTAAAAACGGTTGCTTTTAATGCAGCTGTGGCTCTAGACATATATAATAAGCTGTACTGTGTAAAGCTAAGGTTATCTGTAACGCAAATATGCTTGTTTACCTTATATTTGCCTCCTTGTCGCTCCACAGCTAGCTTAGTTTCTCCACTGGGGGACAGTGTTTTAACAGCACCAAGTGTTCCCTCAGTGTGTCAGTGTTTGGATGCTGCTGGAACATAACACTGTTGTTTTACCTTCATGCTGCTGCTCAGAGCTCCACTGCCATAAAACTGTTTATCTCACTGTCCAAGCTGATGTGTATATAAAGAAATACACAGCTGTCACCAACTAGTGGTTGTAAATAGTGAACCACACCATCAATACAGTGGTCAGTTCATACACAGTAGCAGCTTTTGTAAACTGGGTCAGCTACTACTTACGCTTTTTAAAATTTTTTGTTTTTGTTTTACTTTTTACAAGTAAATCCTCTTAAACAATCTGTGTAACTGATGCTTGTATGAGGATAATAAGAAATGAATGTACTGGAAATGCGTAATTGTTGCGTCTCTGTGTGACAAATTGTGTTTGGTTGTTTTATATATTAACAAGCGTTTCTTTTCTGTTCTAGGTCCAGGCCGATGGAGCCGATGAAGGCTGCGTGACGTTTGTGCTGCATGATGAGGACCATACACTAGGCAACTCCCTCAGATACATGATCATGAAAAAGTCAGTGTTTGACAAGCATGTCACGGTCATGGGTTGCATTCACAAGCACACCCCGTCACGTGGCTCGTTTGAAGTCAAAATTGCTCATGTTTAATTTGTGCCATTTCTCTTTTGACTCCAGCTGGCAGGGCTTTTCCTCTCCAACACTTCCACTGAGTGCAATTTGACAATTTATGATAATCATTTCAGCAAGACATGCGGTGTATTGTGATTCCTCTTTGTTCCCGGTGTTTTGGTTCGCTGTCAGTGGAACATTTTTTAATCACACTCAGCGCACCTCCACCCATTTTAAGCAAAACATTGATAATAATAACAAGTCTCACTTTCCTGTTTTTCTTCTCTCAGCGTGGATGTGGAGTTTTGCGGCTACACCATCACCCATCCGTCCGAGAGCAAGATCAACTTTCGCATTCAGACGCGAGGTCAGAAACAACCCTTTAAAAACTCCGTCACCCTTTTCTTCCCCTTGTGCCATCAGGCTTCGTTGATGTGTGTATACATGTGGAGTGCAGCTACAGAACCAACAGTTTCAGGCTGTGTTGCAAAGTAAACATCTTGATTAGAGTCTGGTGCGTTCAGTTAGTTTACTCAGTTGTACAAGAAAGGCCATTGAAGGAATTTAAGTTCCAAATGCACCCTCTTGTTCAGAGATAACTACCAGCGCTCCCACAAAAGTCCTTTCTCAGCCACAGATGACAGCAGCTGCATCACATGAAAGAGGACTCAGCAAGACTGGGAAAGCATCTTGTTTTTGTTGTTGACCTAAGTTTCAAGATGGCTGGAGGCTCCATCACAGCAAGAGATAATTGCCTTCCATGCACCAGGAAAGCCCCTAGTTTCCATTGTGCTTTCTGGCATTCAGCTGTGTATCTATATTTACTTTTGTCAATTGAGCTGTTTAACTGGATTACCACGACAAGATGTCGCCGCGTAATTCGACATGTGAAAAATTGTTTGCTTAATTTAATCAGTCATCCAAAAAAAAAAGCAAGCACGTTTGTAATGATTTGGACTTGTGTTCAGTCATAATCACGTTTGATCCAGATTAATTTCCCACATCCTGTTGACCTGATTAACTGCAGCAGCATTTGCTACATTTAGTTTATTTTGATCTTAAAGATTTATTGTCTTTCCAAGAAAAAGGGCAGAAGCGACAATAATAATAAAAATAGAATATCATTTAAGCTCCTCCGTTTAATTTCCAAGTATTGTTGTACTGAGTTTGAAAGCAACTGCAGACAAAGCTTTTTATTTGTGTGTTACTAACCACATTTATTGCACATGTTACATGTGAAATCATGTGACTGTGGAGAAAAGTCTATGACAGCTCTCTTGGTCTTCAAGTTAAAGCTTTGGTGTCTGTTTGGGCTCATTGTTCTGCTGCAGTATGAATCCTTCTCCACAAAGATGCAAACTAGAGGAAGTAGAATGTGCTGCCTCTTCTTGGTCAAAGTTGATTTGGTGCAGGTGTCACAGATGTTAGCAGAGACAAGCTTCATGTACAGCTGTCACTTACAAATTGTATACAAGTGTGTAGCTCTCATGTGCTCATGCATCAGTTTCAGGTATGAGTGAAACACAAGCCGAGTGAGAGAAAATTAGTCTTTGTAGCAAACGACAGTTTACAGCATCTCTCTGTCGTTAGGTTTTTGCTCTTTTAACCAAACTGGAGGCCCTTTATCAGCAGAGGATGCGCACAATCAAGGAATAGTTTACACAGCTGTTATGGGAGCCGAGTGCAAACTCATAATGCAAAATGAAACCTATCGATAATTGGTTGACTGACAGCATGCTTGATTTGTTTGCAGCTTTGTTTTTTTGTTGGTATTTTTGTCGCGGTGTTGGTTTTCATTCGAGGTGCCTTCTGTCTGTTTCAGGGGGAGTCCCAGCCACAGAGCCCCTGAGGAGGGGACTGAATGAGCTCAATGATGTTTGCCAACATGTTTTGAACACCTTTCAGGTAAACCCATGTGTCCATTTTTAACACTGATCACTTCCCTCCCATAGAAATGAACAGGCCAGAAGTGGTCTGATTTGGATTTCCTGGTTGGCTGTTTTGTCTTTTAGACTGAATTCCTAAATTTGGCTTTGAGCGACTCCGTTGCACTGGGTGACATGTTTCTTCCTCACAAAGAATCTTCATTCACATCTGGAAAGTGTGAAAGTGATAGCTGTTATTATTCTACGGAGCCAATTGTAAATACACATGATTCTAAAGTATTTGGACAGTCGTACAACTTTCGTGATCTTGTCTCCGAACACCGCCACAGTGGATTTAAAATAAAGCAGTCAAGATGTGATTAAAGGGTTTTCAGTCTCCAAAGTGAATTGAACAATTCACTGATAAGCAGTTTTACAGTCAGGCATGGCCTGTTTCCTCCTGATTTTATTAGAAATGAAGGAAATAAAAGGTCTAAAATTGATCCCAAGTGTTTATTTGCATTTAAGAACTGTTTTTGGTAACTGCCAATGTGCTGTCCAAAGAGGTGTTAGTGCAAGTGAAGAAGGACATCATTAAACTGAAAATGCAAAACAGATCCATGAGAGAAATAGCACAAAGTTTAGGAGTGGCCAAATCAACAATTTAAAATAGAATGGATGCACTGATAAGCTTAGCGACACTAAAAGCCCTGGAAGACCACAGAAGAAAAACTAATCAGAATCAGAAAGGATTTACTGCCAAGTAGGTTTTTGCATACGAGGAATTTGACTTTGTGTTTTAGTGCATAACAGTACCGTATGTATTAAGTGTAACAAGGTAAATAAGAGGCAGTGGTATAAGTCAAAGAGCAGTACATGTAATCAAGGGTTTATAAAAGAAGTAAAAAGTAAACTAAGTGATGATCTCAAAATGATTTCCTAGGTGAAGGAAAGAGATGGTAATATAAGGATTTCAACAGCACTACTGCTGTTACCAAAACTGCTTATTGTTCTGGTGCTTTAATGGCACTCTGACATGCTGTTGTTGTTAGTTTTTAAGAAAAAAAAAAAAGAAAACAAATGAAGAATGGGATTGACACTGCTTTATTTGCTCTTTTACTGATTTGTTTTTCTTTTATTATTCCATATTTAAGTGAGAAATGGAGTGCACAGCTTTCTCTTTGTGTATTTTCTCTGTGTGATTTAAATAGTTTTACTTCAGATTGTCTGGCTAATGGTGATGTTTAATCATTAACCCATGCTCATAAAATTCAGTCCACTGTGACTGTGAGGGCAGTGCTGCTAGCGTGCCTGGAACAATGAAATCAGCTGTTAGTCAGTGTTTATGTAGCCATCAGTAGGAAATCTATTTTCTTAATTTCTTCAATGCTGATAACAGAACTAATAACTCCAGTCTTAAATGATTTAGCCCAGGGACCGGGTAAATACTGGGTTTCAGCATCCATCCCCACTCAGTCCGATGGTTTCAGCTCAAAATGCAAGTCACTGGTGGCACTCAAGAACAGAAAGGCCGGATTAGACTTGGTCAGAATTTTATATTTTTTAAACCGACTTAGACCTGGAGCAAGATTCTGTGGACAGATGAAGCCAAAATAAACCTCTACCAGAATGATGGGAAGAGAAGAGCATGCAAAAGAGAAGTGAGAGTTTATGACCAACATAATCTGTCAGACATTGTGGAGACATGTTACGGCACGGTCACGTTAAACTGCCAGCGGAACTGAACCACCGGTGTTTATTGACCATGTGACTTCTGGTAAAAGTAGCAGGATGCAGCCTGAAGTGAACAGAGCCAAACTTTATGCTCACTTTTATTCAAATGCTACAAAACTGATAGGAATGGTGCAGATGGATAAGCTGAAACATGAGGAAGGCAACAGCTTCTTAAGGCAAAGAACTGGAATGTTCTTAAACGATCAGTTCAGCTCCATCAGTTCTTTTTACTTACTGAAGCCCAACTAAAGGCAGAAACACCCGAAAACAAGCAGCAGCTGAAGGTGGCTGCTTGTAGTAGAAACCTGGCAAAGCATCGCTCAGTATGTGGTGACGTCCATGTGTTCCAAACTTCAATAAGTCATGCAAAGGATTTACACTAGAACATTAAAAATAATCCTTTAATTTAGAATTCTGTTCGTTCGTCGAGTGCTTGTAAGCCTGTGAAAATGGAGGGACTGTATAAAAACATGGGCCTAATTTTAAATTGGTTAATGCAATGTTTTTGTTAAATCCCTTAAATTGCAGCTAAAAGTTTACGCAGTAAACACATACTTTTGTAGTGAAGAAACACTACATCGCCGAGTGCAGTGGTGTGACTCACTAATGTGTTTTTAATCTGTTTTGGACAACAGTGTCGCTCTGCACCACAGAACGATAAACGAAAGCATTCTTTGGACACACAGACTTGTTAGTAGTATCGGCACATTGTTGGTTTGAGTCTTTTGCTGGTATTTGTTGACTCTAAGAAAAATACAGCAAATTCTCTAGAGTTATCCTCCAAGTATCTGCATGTGAAGCTCAGTCCAACCCCAGATCTGGCCTGTTTACAGGTAATTCACAAGCTTGCCTTTTATGTGTTGACTTTGCACCAATATTGGAAGACTGCTTTGCGGTGTGGCAGCTGTATATTGTAAGCAGGGGGATCTCATCAGTCATCTGCTTGTCTCAGCTGTCAACAACGTCAACCCCTATTGTCAGATCCTTTTCTCTGGTCACCGCAGGGTTTCTGTCGAGCAGCTAACCCGATGCTCTTATCACACGCCAAGTGAACCTTGATTTCAAAACACGGATTAAGAATAAACTGTGGTCAGCTGTGTGTGTTAGCTCTACAGTGAAAGGAGAGTCAGCCAGCATTGACTCAGTGTGATGCTCCCAACACTCTCCATTTCAGTTCTGACTGGTTTTTTATGTTGTTCTAGGCAAAAGTTAATAAGTTCAAAGAAGGCCAGGAGAAGCCCATGGAATGAGCAGCGCCACGCAGGACTGCAGAGCTGTCGGACACACAGTGACCTCGATGTCTCCCCTTTTTATATAACGTCTGGCTACCGAGAGGAAAGTCCTCAAAACAGTTTGATCAAGTCGCAGTCAAACATTTGTACAGTTTTGTTTTTTGTATCATGTTGAAAATTGAGTAATGTATAATAAATGTGTTTACCATTCTTGAAAGTATTAAAATGTTGAGAGAAACTAATTTTGGAGTTTTATTTTCCTGTGGATTTCACAGAAAGACTTTGTGACGCAGCGTTCACTCGGCCATTTAACTCTGCTGGCATATTTATTTTCAGAGCGACTCATGTTACACTGTTTTGAAGGATGTGTGAATACAAATGATGAGACTCTCGAACACCAAAATTGCTCTCATCTGTCCTTTTGAAGGCGTTTGACAAGTCAAGGAAGAAGTGGAATTTCCTGATTAAGCCGAGGAATGTGTTGCGAGGGACTTCATACAGGGCCAAGAAGAAGACGAGAGAAAGAGAGGGGAGAGGTGTGAATAATGGGGTCAGAGTGATTTGAGGTTAATCGTATGCCGCTATCAGTCATGTGTTCATGAGTGGACGTCTGTGAGTGTCTATACTTTAAAGCAAAACAGCAACTAACTATTTGACAGAATACAACAATTGCAGCCGCAACATTAACTTCGACACATACCACCCACCTAAACATTGTTGTGGACCCAACACACCGCTCCATGGCAACGCCACTTCCCAAAAGCAGCAGCCTCCCCCAGCAGGACAGCGCACCCCAACCACCCCACGAAAACCGCTCAGGAGCAGCTCGAACATGACAAAATGTCCAAGGCGTCGACCCGGCCTCCAAACTTCCCACATTTAAATCAAGTCGAGCGTCCATTGTGTGCACATAAACAAGCCTGATTGACACCACAGGAGAACCTCAGAGGTCCTGTGACAATGCCACAATGAGTCACCACTGTTTTGTGACACAATATTAGTCTTGCGGTTTTATTGTTGTGGCTGATCAGTAAATCTATGGGAAACAGGATGTAATAGAACCTGCCGATGTTATTTTTTTTTAAATCAGTAGTTTGACATTTTTGGAAAGCGAGTGATTCACTTTCTTGCAGAGAAGTAGATGAAAAGATTAATGCTGTTCTTGTGTCTAACAGTTAAATATTAAGCCAAAGTCTGATCTGGCTTCGCTGGAAAGAACAAAATGAACTTTTGGTTGAAACTATGTAAGCTCCCTCTTTCCATTCATCTCAGTGGACAGATAGGAGAATAGTATCAATCTGGTTAACTAACCTGCTGCAAAAAAAGTGTCAATACATTCATGTTATTAAGCAAAATGTGTTTATTTTTCACTTAAGAGTCACTTCATAATCGCTCATCATCCTTCTAACTCGAGAGAGAGTAAAATCTTGCAAAACATTTTTGTACACTTTGGACCCCACATCACTTCAGCTGAACAGCAGCCAAAATGAACACAGATTACAATTGCTGGATGATGTTTGATGTCAAGTGTAACAGTAGCACAAGAAAAGAGGAAATCTGGGTTAAAGTTTGCTGACAGCAACTAAGATTGGCCACCATAAGTCACTGGTCATACAGGAACAAGAAAAGATAAGAGCTGCAAAGAGGAAGACTCAGTTGTTCTGTTATTTTAATGGTCTAAGTTTGCTCAAGTGCAGTATTTAGGTACAATTTTGAGGTACTTTGCTCATTTTTGTAGTTTTTAGTTGTGCAACATTGTTTGGGAGGCAGTTAGGGTTGGAGTATTTCCAATCTTTGCAACTCTTGAGTTCCACTCCACCCCATTTCTACAAATATGACAGCTGACAGCATCAGTTACTTTTAAGACAAAAGAGTTTACACAGTGGACAATACATAAAGCTTTAAAAATGCAGCAAATTGTTGAAGGTTAAAGCAGTGGATTGCAACATTTTTGGCCTCTGACGTCTCACAAACAGCAGTCTGCAGTCTGGGTCGCATTTCTGAAGTCAATGAGTTGTTAACAGCTCCACTAAATGGTGATTTTTCCCTCCAGACTCACATGGTTTCATTTTAATAAGCGATCCAATATCCCACCGAAAAACAAGAGATTAGAGGAAAAACTCCAAAAACTCTCTGCAGAGTTGTGGATCAGAACATTGTTTTTTGTTCTTTCCTCTCCCAGTAATCATGTGAAGAGTCATCACGTTTATCTGCTGTCCGTTTATATAAAACTTGAAGAAAGTAGTTCAAACCCACAGCAGCAACAGTATCAAAAGGACCAAAACAGTGCTTGTATTTTCATACTTTAACTACATTTTGCAGCTTATACCAGTGCATTTCTCCTTAAATGGAAGGTTTCTTGCAGGACCTTTGCTTGTAATTGAGTGTTTTTAAACTGCTGCACAAGTACTTCTACTCAAGTAAAAGATCTAAATACATCTCTCACCCCTGATGACGACGATGATGATGGGGCTCATAAAGCTAATTTCAGGTTTCACAATAATTACATTTTAACTCTCCCATCATCACAGTTTAATACACCATCTGCGCACAGAAGGGAACTTTTCAAAACTCGTCAAAGCTCCAAAACCACATCAATCTGGAGCACAATGGCTTAAACTGTTGTTTGTTCAGAGAATTGTTTATTTACAGCAGCGGTGGGGCACAGAGCCACTGCCGTCAGTATGATTCTCTTTGCAAACAGTAATTTGAAGTGTTGCACCACGCTTGATGTGGTTTTGTCACTGTCATGAAGCTCGGAATTCACTTCATGCGTGACAAAGCTTCAGCTCACACCGCGATTTTTTTAAAAAACATTTTAAAATGTTCGGTTCCGCTGTGAAGTCCTCTAAACTGAAGGAAGATCAGGAAGCCCTTTTGTTTTTGTCCTTGTTTTTCCAAATATCCATGTGACAACCCTTGAAATATATCAGTTATAGATTTGTTAATTTAATTGTTTTGGATTTTCACTTGTTCTGCACTGAGGTTTGATAGATTCAGACAGTTTTAACGATCCCAAGAAGGGCAGTTCATTTGCAGCTTACGCACAACTTCAGTGCTTACATTTAAGGTAGTTCTATGTCAGAGGCAGCAGACTAACATACAGGAGTCGGTGCAAGGGGCAACAAAAAGCAGTAAAATAATGAAAACCATTTATTCCAGTTTATTTAATCAGTAACGAGTGTAATTAATCAAATACCAGAGTTCAAAAGAATACAACAGCCATGTAAAATGTCTACTGTCAGTGTTTAATAGCCGGGTGTCAGAAGGAATGTAGGATTTGGGGTCACGGATTATTCTTCTGAGGGGTGCATTTTAACACTGGCCTGAGGACATTTCTGTGAATTCCCTGGACGGAACAAGGTCAGATTGGCTGATTATTCCTTTTGCTTTCTGCTCTGCCTGCATCACAAACAGGAAGCACAAGCCTCTGAGCTGAGCTCAAATAGTTTCAGATCAAACTACACCATCAAGGCTTTTTGGGTCCTTCACACAAAATCCATCCAACCAGAAAATATGAGATAAAACTCCAGTTCTTACCACACACTGGAAGACTTTCAATGAGAGATTGATAAATATTACATAACATTGAATCACACACTCCAAAAAAACCAAGCTTCCACAAAAAGGGAGTTATTATTAATTATATAATATCTCTTGTTCAGATAAAAACACGAAGCTGGCCATCGGAAGCAAACATTACCGTGAATACAACTACATAAACAAATCTTTATGTGACTGAAATAAAGCTCATCTGATCACATATCAATTTATAGATAAAGTGAAACGAATATTCCTTTAACTGATGATCTATCAAGTGTAAAATAATTACATAGTGATAGTCACTTGATTATTTTTATTGGTGACGATCAGAAATCGATGATACGTGTTAAAGAAGCATTAATTCATGCATTAAGAAAAGTCATGAGTCATGCACTAGTTAAGCCTTATGGAAGTAAATGATTCGTTGTGTCATCTAGAGTTTCCATTTAAAAAAAAGAACCTTTGTGTGTTTTGTTTCTTTTTAACATTGAATCATGGTTGTTATAATTTGTCTTTTTTGACAATAATTTGCAATAAACAAACAAACAAAAAAAAAAAAACACGTCAAAATGAAAACAAATTTCTACAAAGTAATGATTATTAATAAATATCAAAATGAAAATAAGTGATTACCTCCCTCAAGTGAGTAATCTTTGGCTGCAATTACAGCATGAAGCCTGTTTGAATAGATCTCAGTCAGCCTTAGACATCCGGATGCTGCAATATTACCCCATTCTTCTCAAGCTCTGTCAGGTTGTGTGGAAATCTTGAGAGAACACTCATTTTGAAGTCCAACCACAAATTTGCACTTGGATGGAAGTCTGAGCTCCTACTTGGCCGCTTCAGAACCATTAACGAATAAATCATTTCTGTGTAGCTTTGGCTGTTTGCTTTGGCTTATTGTCTTGCTGGAACACAAATCTCCTCCCAAGTTGTATTTCTCTTGCAGACTACATGAGGTTGTCCTCCAGGATTTTCCAATGTGGTGCTGCATTCATTTTGCCCTCTGATGGGCAAAAGGTTCAGTTTTGTTCTCATCAGACCAAAGAACCTTGTTCTAGTTGATGTGAGAGTCTTGCATGTCTCTGATGAACTCTAGTCAAGATTTAATATGAGCCTTAAGTAGTGTTTTTATTTTTGCCACTTTCCTATAAAGGTTTGACAGGTGGGGCAACCATTGTGGTGTACACAGTCTCTCCCATCTCAGGCGCTGAAGCTTGAAACTTCAGAGGAGTCATATGTGTATTGGTGACCTCCCACAGTAGTCTCAATCTTGTAACTACTTAGGAGGAGTCTCAGGTGTCTTGGTGGCCTCCCTCACTAGTCCCTTTCTTACAACTACATAAGAGGAGTCATACGTGTCTTGGTGGCCTCCTTCACTAGCTTCTTCCTTGCTTGGTGACTCAGTTTTTGAGGACGACTTGCTGTAGGCAGATTTATCTATGTGCCATGTTTCTTTCATTTATAAATGATGTTCTTCAGTGACTTGGTAATTTTCTTGTATCCATCCCCTGACTTATGTTTTTCAAGTTACTTGGCGTGTTCTTTTGTCTTCATGGTGTAGTTACAAACAGGAGTATTGATTCAGCAGTGACTGGACCTTCACTGCACTCAGGTGATCTCCGGTTGGCTTCCACCTTTTCAGATTAGGTGAAATAGTTTGAATGTTTACACAATTACTTCCTTGTCGTGTTATAATTGTAATTCACATTACTTTGTAGAAATCTGCTTTTGCTTACACATGAAAAAGTCTGTTTTTGCAAATTCTTGTCAAAAAAATCCAAATTAAATCGACCACCATTGAATATTGGAAAGCAACGAAAGGAGAAAACTTCCAACGAGTACTTTTTATAGACACTGAATAATATGAGATTTGGGTTTGTCACTATTCTGCCTTGAATCAGTTCCTTAGTTCGGGCATGGATTCACTGGAGGATTTTACGAGAAAGCCACAATCTTGAGAGGTCCTGCAGCTGTCTTTATGCATAGTAAAAACCAAGGGGGACAAGACAAAACCATGGGGTTGAGACCTTGATGCTGATCGTAAGTCCAAGCCATAAAACTTGCTGGATTTGCTCTGTTTAAACATCAAAAAGCAAAATCAAAAGCTGCTCTGGTCATTGAAACTAACAAATAGGTTGTTCAACCAAAATCTGAATCTTGTTTAAAGCTGAAGAAAAATCAGTAAATAAAGTCCCACATGGGATTTGTGTTAATGCACCAGCGTGTCCCCTTGACCTCAAGATTCAATTGTGTAGTTGAGTCACAACAGCCAGTTCGGTGTGGTTTTTAAGATGCCAAGAAGAAGCCAACAAAATCCTTTTCACCAGTATTGCTACATGGTTTTCTCTGGAACACAGACGCAAACCTTTATGAATTAGTTTGTGGCGAAATAAGAAAATAAGGCAACCACAGATAAATACGGTTTCCCTGCCTCGTGAAACTTGTGGCCATTTCCAAGAAACAGCTTTCCTGAGTGAAAAAGCCGAACCCCTTGAAGTCTGTAACGTGAACCGATGTGGAAGATCTTTTCGGAGATTTAATCAGCACTATACACTGAACAACCTGTTTCCTGGAATTGTTCCCAGGCAGCTTATGTCCACTTGTCTGAAGCAATCATTTTTACACTGAGCAAAATAAGACATTTGACGTGTTTTGTTTTGATGATCACCAAAATCAGATGTGAACCAAATGTAACCTCTGCTGGGGAAAAAAAGCAAAAACCATGAAGTCCATAACAAAGTATTTAACCTTTGACAGGCTGATAATAATAAAGCAGACTGTTTTTATTCACTCTTGTCAAGAGTACCCCACTGTTTCATACCTGAGGGGGACTCTAGGAATGAGTTTTTCGTGGAAGTAATCTTACATTAAGTTAACTGATGTTTGTGTTGAAAGCATGTTACACGATCCTCTTCAGACGCTCTACTCAGTGTATAGATGTAGTATTATGTCATGTGTGGCCCTGTGATAGACTGGTGACCTGTCCAGGGTGTCCCCTGCCTTCGCCCTGAGTCAGCTGGGATAGACTCCAGCCCCCCGTGACCCTAGTGAGGATTAAGCGGTGTATAGATAATGGATGGATGGATGGATTATGACATGTCATAAACAGTGAAACTACGTCACAAGTGACAGGGATGACCCTCAGTCAATCTGCTGAACTCAGAAAATAACTCAAACAAGACAGATGCTATAAAATAATATTTATTACTGTATTCTCTGAACAAATAAGTACACTATAAATGCAATTTTAAGGGACATTATTCACATATATGTTCAACTTCAAAATGACTGCTACAGGTTTTAACTTGGTGGTCCCTCTATAAAGACACTCACAAAGCTGCTCACAGCTTCCAGCACACAGTCGCTTTTGGACGCAGCTCTAGCCAGGGTGAAGAAGACATAAATAGATATGATGAGTGTAATGAGTCACATTCAGCACCATCAGCTGATATTGTCAACAACACGGTGGCAACATAAATTCTGTATCCAAGCATTAGTGTAACGAACCCAGATCTGCTCTATTTTAAACTTCTTCAGTGTGAATGAACACATTGTCTCGTCTCTCAGCAAAAACACATTTTATTATGTTGCTCTTATAAAAGGTGAAAAAGTTTCATCTCACGATGTACTGAGGGAGGGGGAAAAAAAGCACGAGATGAAAATGATTCATCCTGAGCTTCTATCACTTGCATAGACTCACTTAATATACAATGAAAACAAATGTCTCGATGTTTTGGCATTACAGGATTTATACTGAGTTTTGCAGCTTTGTCCAGCTGCAGACTCCTTAACATTATTGTAACATAAATAAAGGAAAACCTTTCTCTTCCTTAGCTGCACCTCACATATTTAATTTCTTACAACATTCTTTGCCTGCAAATCTCCTTCACAAACATCAGTTTAACATGCTAGTTTAGTTAGACGTCTTGAATTTCATTGTCTGGTCACTGTATTCAATATAAAGCATGTATGACAAATTAAAGGAAAAATCAACATTATGAGTAAGACGCCGGGCCCTGTGTGCCACCAGGACAGCTTCAATGTTCCTAAGTTTTGATTCTCCAAGTCTTTGGAACTCTGCTGGAAGGGTGAACAACCATTCTTCCAAAATGTGTTGTGGCTTTTGGTGATGGTGGAGCAGAGCACTGTTTAACACATCAGTCAAAAACCTCCTGTTGATGTTCACTTGGTTTCAGATCTGGTGACTGTCCAGGCCGCAGCATGTGATTCACATCATTGTCAACTCATCGGATCAACCAGTGACCAACTCGTGCCAACTCACTTACTAACTCAGAACAACACGTGTTGATCTGCAGTGACCCTTTCATCTAAGGAGGCTGGTAGACCCAAACCATGCCAGCAAAATGCCCCCTGCAGCACCACAGAGCGACCAGATCCCCTCACTTTGTAGACCAGTGCATCTGGTTTTTGCACCACGGGACTCTTCAATATGCATTAATCTTTGCAGTTACGGGTTTATGCACTGGAACCCAACCAGAACATCTCTCTCTATGTAACTGCCGATGTGCTGTCCTTGTTGACAGCCTGATCACATCCTGTATTGACATTCTCAGTCACATGTGTAAGAGTTGCTCTTGTGGTTTTCCTTATATATCGCACTTATGCATCACGGTCGTCAAACATGTGCTGTTAACCACAGTTTCAATCGCTGTGATTTTTAGTCAGTGCTCCTACTGGAACACCAGCCAGTTGAGCCGTCTTTGTGACTGAAGCTCCTGCCATCAGTGCCCCAACAATCCTCTTTCAAAGTCACTTAAATCTTTTCCTTTTGCCATCTTGATACAAAATCACAATCAGCCTGGCAGTATTCTTGCACATGCCAAATACCATTATTGGATATTAACTCCTTCATTGTACCATGCAGTTCGTTTAACGAGTGGAATCTGCATTTCTTTGTACTCTAGTTTTTCCTTTAATTTGTCACACTGCTATGTGTGCATGTATATATAGAAATTCTATGATCCTTATGTAGATAGTTTCATCTAAAAACACTCGCTTTAAACAGTTTCATTCCTAAAGCATTTAAATGGCTAAACTAAAAATACGTCTTCCAGGAAGCAGCTCTTTAGAAGGAATCTCCAGCCATATGAACTGCTTTGTAACACCGCCACGCCCCGGTGGAGGTGAAATATTCAACGCTGGCTCGAGCTCTTCGTGCGTTTTGTGATATTTTCTTAGAAAAATAGAAGCTACATTGTAAGACTCAAATGAAGACTTTATACACAGTGTGAACAGAGACCACTGAAAACATAAAATAGCACTGCAGCAATAATAGAGCTCATAATGTGGCATGATGGGAATCGTCTGGTGTTAGTCAGCGTTCTTAGTCAACAGCTGCCCTCCACATGACTTAAAGCAGTGATGATTTCCAGATAAAAAGATTGCCAATGCTTGACTCTCCACATGACTGGAAGGCAAACAGTGGGGCCCATTTTGCTCTGCTATGATGTCACCGGTGGGCTTTGAGCAGTGACAACATGCAGTTGATTGTCAGAGAACTAACTAGTCTTGTGTCGGCAGAGGCACAAATGTGCATTTTAATAATAAAAAAAGGCAACTTTAAGGCCTTTCGGATCATCACTCAGGGTCACAGTTTCCCTCTAGCTTTCCACCGTGAGGTATTAAAAAGCTTCAACAGGTAGTATTTATCAGTGCTCATTCATACAGGAAGCACTAAGTCGAGATATAACCATAAGTCTGCACTCTACATGTAAATAATACTGTACATCAATTTACAAGTAGCTTGAATAAACATTCTTTATAAATGTATTTACCATATTGGTGCACTGAGAGCCTTTAAGTCCTCTACGCAAGCCTCAGTGCCCGAGTATGAACACGTTGATGCGGTTTCATTATCGCTTTTAGTGTTAGAAACCGGACAAGGCACAGTTCTGTTATTTCAACCCCCAGTTTGGGTCGATCTCTGAGTCTTTCAGACCACAGTGAGTCCTGTAGAAGTGACCTCTACCTCGCTCCGTTATCCTCCCCTTCCTGACTCACATCTGATATGTTGGCAGTGACGCAGCAGATTCTCCACGATGGGAGCCGATGACGGGAACGTTGGTTTGGGAGAAGAGGCGCGCAACGACTGTGTGGGTTTAAGAAGAGCTTGTGTATTTCTGACTGGAGCTGGAGCGGGAGCTGGAGCGGTCCAATCCGTTACCGTTGCAGGAACCCTTCCAGCGTCCTCCGGAGCCTCGTTCGTCCAGAGGAGAAGATCTGTAGCACCAGCAGCACAGGCAGGACTGCAAGAAAAACGCACAGCTTTTTTTGGTAAGTGTGTTTTCCATTAATACCTCATTTGTAGTGCCGGCGTGTCCCCTCTTACCTGGAAGCAGTTTTTAAACTTCTGGCTGACAAAGTAGAGGGCAATCGGGTTAATGCAGGAGTTTAAGGAGGCCATGTTGATGCCGATGTAATCCATCACTAAGAGGAAGCTGGCGGGGACAAGGGCAAAGTTTACAGAGAGTACGAAATGGAAAGGGAAGTCGCACATTGCAGAACAATGGGTTATCATGACGTTGCGGTGAGGCCGGTTATCTGTGCGCCTACCTGAGCAGCTCGCAGCGGTTGGGGTCATTTTGGTCGTAGATTGTTTTCTTCAGAATACGGCTGAGATGAAGGGGCAGCCAGCAGAAAGCGAAAATCAGCACCAGGCAGAACACTGTCTTCGCTACTTCCCTCCGCTACGCGAACACAAAGAGAAATAGTGAATCTAGTGAGCGCCCTCCGAGTCTGAGTGCTTCTGAATTAGCCGGCTTTCGCGTGCGTACCTGTTTCATGTGGTCGTTGAGCGCGATCCGCATGCCTTTTTTGCGACTGAGCATCTCGCAGGACATGAGCGTGTAGAAGATTCCAGTGCAGGCCAGTGGGAAGCAGAAATAGAAGCCAAACAGCCACCAATCTTTGACTTCCTGGTAGCGCTGGAGGGAAAAAAAAAAAGACCCAGTAAGATAAAGTTAAAATACTAGTACAGGGGGTTTTATGTAATTTTTTTTGAGATTGTAGGAAACTTCCAGAACTTCACAAGCAGTAAAAACACCGTAAATTTGGTTAAGATTTCCTGTGATTTAGAACAACCTCTGTCTCTTGTGCTTCTCTGCCCTTTTAATGCAAAAATTGGTACAAAGGCCGTAAATTTGGTTTAGATGTTGCTGTGGATGTTTTGGAACAACGAGTCTCTCTCTTGTATCTGACATTATCTGGCATTTAGGAAAATTTCCCTTTGGCTGAACTGAAGACATTTCCTTGATTAAAGGGATTGTTCGGTTTCTTTGAAGTGGGGTCGTTTGAGGTACTCGTGCACAGTCAGTCTCTTGCACAAAATAGATCTCCAGTCTTTGCTCCCGCTAGTTTGAAGAAGCAGGGAGGGACTGCTGGCAGGGAAGCTAAGCAAGGCTGCAAACAGGGACAGCAAAACATATTGTAGCCACCTGAACAGAGATCCACCTGCAGAAATCAACATCTGCTTTAGTGCGCATGACCTTTCTGTGGTTCTACGCAGTCTAAAACACTGGTCTTCAGCCTTTTTTGCACCACGGACCGGTTTTAAGGAAGAAATTTTTCTATCACATAACAAAAATAATAGTTTTTTTCTATTAAAAAGTTTCCTTACTTTTTCTTCGGTCTCAGCATCGAGTTTCTCCCACTTTCCAAATAAGCTCTCCTGAGACGTTTGTTTCTGACCGACGGCTTTGTTTAACGGCCGAGCATAAAAACTGACAGTCAAGTGTGGGAAACGAGCACAAACCGAAGTGACGGGAAGACGAGCTTGTCATTTTTCAAAACGCCCCTGAAAATAAAAATAAACCAATAAAACGTTTGTATTCTTTCTGTGTGGCCCGGTACCAAATGGCCCACAGCCCGGTTCCGGTCCGCGGCCCAGTGGTTGGGGACCGCTGCTCTAAAAGGTAGTACCTATGCTTACTTGAATCACATTGGTGTACTTTACTTATTTCTCACTGTCCTGTTCATTTAACTCATGGACTGTATGTACTCATTTTTCCTTAAAGAGTTATAAAACTAAGCACACTTGAGTAAACTGGACTTGAAAGGTTCTGTTCCTGGACTGAACACAGAGCTCAGCGGTGCACATGTGCAGTAGAGAAGTGCAGGAGAAGTTTCCAGAAACTTTACAGGGCGGCTGTGGCTCAGGTGGTAGAGCGGGTCGGTCAATGACCAGAAGGTCGGCGGTTTGATTTCGCCCTGTGACATGTGTTATGGTTGTTGTGTCTTTGGGCAAGACACTTCACCCACCTTGTCTGGTGTGTGAATGGATTGTTGAGGTGGTGGTCGGAGGGGCAGGATGGCAGCCACGCCTCTGTCAGTTTGCCCCAGGGCTACAATCGTAGCTACCACCACTGGGATGAATGTGTGTGGATGAAAAACTGACAGTGTAAAGCGTCATTGAGTGTCTAGAGAAGCGCTGTATCAATCTGATGAATGATTATTATTTAAGTTTCTAACCCTTGGAAGATTATACTTCATCATTATACTTGCTATTTTTTAAGTTCACAAAATTAAGTAAATACACCTACATTTTAAGTAAACTGTACAAGCAGATATTTAACACTAATGGTTATATTTACTTACCTTTTTTTGAGTGCAACCGGTTTCCTAAGTTAGATCAACTTTTCACATTTTACAGTGCAGCTTCTGAACTGCAGATCCTCAGCATTCCTACACAGTGCACTGCATGACACAGCTGGAACTTTGACTGACACATCTGATCTGCAGCACGATACGGTCTGCAGCGGGAGTGCCCTCGTGCGTGGGAAGTTCTGCAGAAGTTTGACACACCACTGCTAAAACTACATATTAACAGACAGCTTTAAGGATTATTTCCAGTTCTCCTCATCTGACGTGAGTGAAGCCACATACTGGAAATGTCTTCCTGCCTCCCGTCTGCAGGTTTCTGAACGTACATTATGAGAAACAGTGACATATTTTGCCTGCACTGGGTCATCTTGCATTTTTTTGATATCACTAATTACTTGCTGGCAGAGAAAGAGGAGGTCCTGTCTGCAGACACGCTCTAATTGTTTTGTTGCTGACCGGACGCTTCTCCTTTGGAGCGAACCGGTCCGCTGACATATGTACATGAAAGTAACATCAAGTGCTTGCTGAACAAAATCCAAGCTGTCTTTTTTCCCCTTGTTGCACAGATAGATGTAAAACACCCCACAGGATAATTTGTACCATGTGTTTTTAGGACAACATCCCCATTAAATATTCTGAAGTGATAAATATCTGCGCTTCGCCAAGCCGAACTTGTTCTGATCATATTTCAAAGACAGATAAAAATCTGCAGCTGTTTTGGGTTTATCATGTTTATACTCACATATTTCCTTCTTGTTTTTATAAGGTTTTTTTTTGTTTTTTTTGCACTGATTGTCTTTGCGTGTTTAAATATTAACTTTAATTTTGACTCCAATATCCTGTTAATTTCTGCGCACAGATGATGAATCCTTTGAACCCCAAAACCCCGCCGACAGTTTTAAAAGGCCTGTTATCTCCCAGTTATCTCGCAGTCAACAGATTTATTGAAAAAAATACAAATTCTGCACTCTTGGTGAAACTACGAAGCCATGACTGACTCACCTGCGACCAACAGTCATGTGACAAAAATTCAGGGACTTTTCAGCTTAAACTACGGGCTGTTTGCACAAAGCAGACAGGAAACAACGAAATAAAGAAATAAAAATGTACATAGTAAAATACCTCCATTTTTCAGGACAACATCTGTGAGCACTTGGAAAAATATTGTACATGTTGATTCCAGATTCTAAAATATGTTTTTGAAGAAATTCAACTTTTTTTTTTTTTTTTTTAGGATTTATGGCATGATAACTTAATTATCCTGCGCAGAAGACATTTATTATGAGTCTGCTCTACTTCCTGGCACAGTTGTGTCATGGAGGTGCAGGATTTATATTGTAGTGAAAAATGAGCACACAGTGAAGAAACATGCAATCGGAAACTACTTGGGGTCATTTGAAAGCACAAATTAGGTAAACCAGAGAGAACAAATAACAAAAACACTTGGCGTGTGTGCCTTTTCTGTATTTTTGCAAACGATACCTACTGATCTCACTAAGCACGCCTCTCTAGAAGTGAAAAAAAACACACTGCATACTATTACTTTGTATAAAAACACATCCAGCCAGCAGGTATAAATACTCAATTACCACATTATGAAGCACTGAAGCAGTTTTTGCTCTGCTGCCTGGTATTTTAGAGTATTTTTACATTGTGATATGAAAGTCTGGACAGACTCCCTCCACCACCTCTAACAGGTGACAGGTCTCACCTTCATAAAGTTGGTGGTCTGCTCTGGATGCAGCAGGCAGATGCGCAGCTTGTTGCCTCTGTACGGCATCTCCAGCATGTCGAACGCCAGCGCCTCGGGGACGGCCAGCACCACGGCAACCAGCCAGATCAGTGTCACCTCCACTGCTTTCCACAGAGGGATCCCCATCCCCTTCACCCTGCTCCATGACGTCACCGCGTGGTAGCTGCGGGGCACAAATATGCGTTAGCGGCTTTCGATCATAGTGCTTCTTATCTGTGTGTGCGTATCGGTGTCCTCACCGGTCAATGCTGAGAGCGCACAGGCTGAGTACGGTGATTCCCACCGAGGCTTTCTGGATGAACGGCATCAACTTGCAGACGTACACTCCGAACGGCCAGTCCTCCGCTATCAGCTGCAGAGACAAACAGCGCAGGAGGAACAAGAGGAAACAGATTTGTGATGAGCGAAACTTAAGAAGGGTCACCTGTGTAAACACAGATAGAACGCTATGTGGTTCATTTGGAGGCCCTTTCTTCCTCATGTCCTCCATCATTAATGAGCAGCTATAACAACAGGCTGTGGCTGAAGTTCTTCTCCCAGAGGGGACGAGTTCTGTTCTGGGTCAGGAGAGTCTATTTAACAAATCAGGTTTGCACTTGATGAGAGAAGTGCTTATACAAACCTGCTGCATTGTCTCTCGTCTCTTGAAACAATCAGAGCTCACATGAGCTTCCTTCATTAATTCTCATTAGCGTCTTGACATGCATCTTCATACTCTCGAGAGATGCAGGACCAAAGAAACATGAAACGGGGTGACTTTTACTCAGGTTTGCCTGGATTAAGCACTCCAGCTTCCTTCAATTAAAGCAAATCCTTTCAGATTGTGAATTAAAGAAGTTTCAGTTTTGTTTTGGTCTTGTAATTTGTAACTGGCTTTCTTATTATGATTATCTCAGTTGGATATTTTCACTTAACAGACACTCGCGGCAAGCGATCAAAAGACATTTGGCTGAAAACCCCAACACAGCTCTTAGCATCTGCCTTTAATGAACTGTGTTTTGGTTTATATTGTAGTCTAGGTAGGAAATCAGTCTATTATAAAACCAGCAATTGGCAAAACCACATGAAACACACTGAACAAAGATGCAAACCACAGTAACAAACTCATAAATCAACCACACAAAACCACAGGACGTTACAAACTAAGGCGCTGCAAATGTAGCTGTGAAATAAATGGGCACGGAAATTGCTTTGGATTAAAGTCTTGCGAAATTAGAGACAGACGCGAGGCATTGTACTCGTTGTCAAATCAAGATTTTATGTCGTGCAAAACCTGCGTCTTATCAGCACAAATAGTGTTTTTGATCCACAGAGCAGGCGGAGGTCACCCTTCACATAATCGAACAAACACTGGAGGCGGATAAAAGGTGTTTACCTTGAACACATTGATGGGGATGGCGATGATGATGTAAAGCAGGTCCCCCAGCGCCAGGCTGCCGATCAGAACATTGGGTCCGTTCCTCATGCACTTGTTCTTATAAATGATCCTGAGCAGCGTCGAGTTGCCGATGATCCCCACCACGAAGATCAGGCAGGATATGATGGTGTTCACGTACTTGAAGGCGTGCTTGATCTCCGTGGGCTTTATGCACATGGGGGGGAAGGCGCTCCGCGGTCGGCCCGGCTGCGGGGACGGAATCCCGGCCGAGGCGTTGCTCTTGGGGGGTTCTGGAGCTTCGGGGACCCCTTGGGAGTCACGGATGAACCTGGAGGCTCCGACCTCCACGACCATGAAGAGACACAGCAGTGCGATGGCCCTCATCCTCGCACAGCAAACGTTTGCTCACTTAAAGGCACAAAGGTGTCGGAAAACACTCACTTAGAGGCACTCGCATCCACACACTGGGTGCTCGCTCCAGGCCCGGCAGCGGAGGTCCGAGTCCACGGTTGTTCTGTCCTGTACAGAAAACAGATGAGCCATCTTGTTAAAAAAGAAAAAAATCAGAAAACTTGTTGCGCAACTTTACCGAAAAAGAGGATAAGAGCTCAGTTTAATTTATATGGCACCACTTCAAAACAGAAGTCATGTCAGGGCACTTTTCATAAAGACAGTGGTTCAATGTTATGGGGGGGAAAACCCAACAAATCCGATAATTCCCTTTCAGCAAGTTCTGTGGAAAAGAAAAACTCCCTTTATAGGTTAAGAAACCTCCGGCAGAACCAGGCTGAGGGAGGTTGGGGTGAAGGTGAAGGGAAGAAAGAGAAGAACAGGATAGCAGAGAGTTTTCAGTGTGGCTCTAGAGACGACTGGGATGGTCTGCCAATCCACCACGTTGGTCCAGATGACGGCAAATAGACGAATTTCACGGAAATTTATCGACACTCATGGTCCCCAGAGGATGAATCCTAATGACGTGATTTATCTACAGCGTGGCCAACGATCACAGTTTTGCTTTATGCTATGAAATAACTTGAGGCACCAAAGTTAATGGATTCGGAATGACTGATCACTTGATTTTTTTTCTTTTTTTTTTTAGTCTGGGGTTCATATTCATGGTTCTGAGGGAAATTATAATAATATCTCAACGACTGTTAGATGGGTTTATATCATATTTACGACAGGTTTTCAAATTCATTCAGGTTAAAATTGTGTTTTCTCAGTTGTAGTTAGTAGTTAGCGCTAATTAGCAGCTAGGCTAACGTGGTTACAATAGTAAACACTGTAATCTATACGACTATATGTTTTGTTTGTGACTTAAGTATTTATTATTGAGTTTTATCTATTTTATCTGTCTGTCTATTTTTACAGAATCACTCATTTGACTATAGAAGTGCTTTTTAATTTTTAAAACTATTGCCTTTTTACTTGTATTTATCATGTTAGCGATGCGCAAGTAGCATCTCACAGCCAATGTCCTTGGTCTAGTTTAATATTAGCATATGTTATCATGAATCTGGAGGCATAGAATCATAAATGCAGCATGGAATATATTGTTAAATTCCTTCCACTCATGTTAACACAGAGGAATAAGTATTTGTTGCTCCAGAACACGGAGTGTCTGCAACAGACTAGACGTCATAAAACAACCAAATATGCACTTTTCGGAAACAGGCAGATGGAGAGCGGGATCATAAACCACAAATCACAAATAAGTAACAAGTCACACATCTGCGACTGATAGACTTAATGAGGTTGTTGATGCTGACTTAAGGAATGTTGTCCCACCGCTCCAGAAGGACTCGGTAAAGTTGGTGGATATTGTAGGGGACAGGATCACTTTGTTGGACATCCAGAGCTGTCTGAAATGATTTCATTAGACGAAAAACAGAGGCGACTTTTCTACAGCTAACATGCACCATCAGCATGTCTTGTCATCTGTGGTCTTTTGTCATCTGATGAATCTGCATTTTAAGGTGGACTTTTATAGTGATTGGTCCGTGCACTGGCCACTATCTGATCATTTAAAGTCACACCTGACCAGGCTGTGGAATAACTCATTTGAAAAAAATAAATAAAAAAGATGTGCAAAGTTAAATTTAAACCAGCCGAAACACCAAGAAATGAGGCTTGTAATTTTCATCCTCTGAGTCAGACAAGAAGAACATCTGCGTGCTAAATTTCTATATCTGTTTGCTAAGTTTACTTGTTGACAGTAAAAAAAAAAAAATCTGTTTAGTAATCACAAGCAGTTTTACATTCAATGAGGTAAGAGCAACAGCATCCGCGCACTAGTGAGCCAAACCTGTGGCATCACTTGAACCTGATCCCACTTTTTGTCAGGCAGCTTGAACACAGTTATGGTTGTCGTTAGCACGGAGGTGGATCAAACAGATCCAGCAGGCTGTAAATAGAAATAGTGACGAGATTTATCAGCGCGTACATGTGTCTGTGCTGCATGCCATCACTGCACAGGGGATGTTTTTGCGTGACGAAAATAAGGCTGTAAAATAAAGGGGAGGCGAGGTGAAGCAAAACTGAGCAGCACCAAGTGATAACTGAGGTTAGATGAGGAACAACGATGTTGTGTGTCTGCTGCGCGAGACAGAGATTCTTTCTTTGTCTGACAGAGGACTCTAGCTTGGGTCGGACCCTCTCAAGTATCATGTGTACCCCCCAGAACAGCCTGGGGCGTCTCAGGATAAATGGGCTGATTGACTATGACGGCAGTATCTGTGCAGACTCAGACACACACACAAACGCACACATGCATCTGAGCAGATGTGCAAACGTCTTGATATGAAAGTTCAGAAAGGACAACGTTTGTGGACAAAGGCTTAATTTACTTCTTAGTGATCACATTTATGAATACGCTTCAAATTTTCATGCTGACCCACTTCTGCACCAAGACAAATACACACAAACTCCCTCCGAGACAACTGCCTCAAAAACACTGGCTTGTTCTGTTCGCACTCACAAAGACAGAGAATCACATGGATGAACTCACACACATATCACAAGAAGTCAGTTTTGAAAAATTTGGCCACCGTCCATGCATATCCTCCTTATCATGTGAATGACGCCTTTGTGTTGTGTAACACGGCAGCTCATTAGGGTTTGTTAGAGCAGGCATGTCTGATTAGATCGGAAAGCTGAGTTTTAATTAGGCTGATCCTCTTAATCTGATGGATTCTGCTTTGGAAAACCATCTCTGACCTCTGCTGGCTCCACATCTTAGAAAGAGGGAGGTGGAAAGTTGGCAACCAGCAAGGTTGACTCTGCGGTGGTCAGGAGAGGGAAGTGTTGGGTGGGAGATGAAATGGTTCAAAAAAACCAACAACACAGAGATGGATGCAGGAAGAAACAAGAGGCCAAGATCAAGAAAACTGACATCTTGATCTTCCGCGCTGTTTGGAAGAACAATGGGAGGAGAAGGAAAGTGCCGGAAAGCGCAGTCAGAGGAAAGAGTGAGAGCTGAACTACAACGCCTTAGAGGGCAGGAGTCATCAGAACGACCTGAAGGCAGGAGGGGGCAGTAAGAGATGTCAGCAAGATGAAGGGACGGTGGATCAGCAGCAGATAACTGCCCCAAAGTTACAGGATGACTTGAAATATCAAGTCATTTACATAACACAACACATTTCTCTTGCACAAACTGATGCTTTGTTTCCAAACGTGTGCCATGTTTGAGCAGAGCTTCTGATTTGTCTGAGGTTCACACGGCACAAGTCCTTTTAATCAAATATGGAAAACATGTGAGTTTCATTTTAAGGTTTAGGAAAGAGGCCGCCTAACTTGATTATTACTTTTTTGGAGTCGGCTTGATAATTTGCTGTGCAATAATCAGTTTGAAGTTTGCAAAACTTCAAAACCACAATAATTTCCAGGAGCAGTCTCCACAAGCTGCTAAAAAAAACGTCAAAATATGATACAAATACTACAAGAAGACTATATTAGTACACAGAATCCATTGGGTTTTTGTATAATCCTGCCACAAATCCTTCCTACGTGAAGTTTATGAGGTGTTTAGTTAACTCGTTTTTTTTTTTTTTTGGTATTGTTCCTGGTGTTGTATCCCTCTTGGTTAAAACACCTTGTAATCTAAATGCAAAGGAATGTTTCCAAAGATGGGAGAGGACAGCTAGTTTCTGCTCCACTGCTCAGTTAGAGTTTACAGCCTCGGTTTAGATTCATTATCACAGTGTGAAATATAGTTCCTCTGCCAGTTCTCTGCAGTTTAGTTCTCTTCACCCTGAAAAAATCCAATAAATCATCCAATAAATGCCTATATCGGACCAGGCCTGATTCGTGAAAATGCCAGCTGCCACAGAGAAGGACGCTCATTTTCATCTGCGTAACGATCATGATGGGCTCAGTCCAGCACATCGGGTTTTAAGTGCGCTTCAACAAGTGCAAAACGAAGGGCTGGATAAGTTTAACTAGGTATGAAATTCTACGAGGTGTAAACAAAACGATGACTCATGTTGCATGCAAAGTTGCCATCCTGCAATCAGTGATATGGTTCGCTCCTTTTGCGCAGTGCCCAAACCAAACTTTTACGCACTCAGATAGATAGATAGATAGATAGATAGATAGATAGATAGATAGATAGATAGATAGATAGATAGATAGATAGAAGCACAGTAAAGTCACGTGGTTGCATCTACATTTTCTTTAATCAGAGGTCAATAGCACTATCAGTTCAAAACCACCTTGACTGGACTCACCGGACCGCGGTGCTGCGATGCGCTCAAGGACAAACTTTTTCGATCAATATTCCAGCAGAGTCCTTCTCCTCGACCCGATGCTTTAGAACCAATTATATGCTCTTTTTAGTGAGTTCCAGAAGTTACAGTTCCCGACGTGTCCAGTCCGCTGCTGCTGCCCGCTCCGACTGCGCCGTGCGCTCTGATCCGCCGACAGACTGCAGGAGGGGTTCTTATACCCACCAGCCGGGAGGCTGCAGGAACAACCAATCACATCCCAGACACGACCATCCTTCCCTCGCTGCTGAGAGGATGCGATTCAACCGCACGCATGAACGTATATATTTTTTTCAGTCCTTCAAAGCTGATGTCCTTGAATCTTAGACAGAGGTGGAAGAAACGGGCAGAACTTAAAGAAAACTCCCAAAACAAGAGTACAGAAAAAAAAACTACAAATGGACTTTCTTTATTATCATTGTACAAAAACACAACCGTAAATCTGGTAAGGAAATGTCGTTGCTTGGCTACTGGAGGACACAGAAGTAGAGCTTGTGAGGCAGTGACTTGTTTATAGATACTGTAAACAAATAGCTATAAATATATCTCTATATATAAATATATAAGAAAGAAGTAGTGCAATGGAAAAACAGCTAAATATAAACAGTATAAAAATAGTATAATAATAACAGTGTATTGTCAAAAAGTATAAGGAGCAAAAATATATACAGAATAAAAATAACCACGTCAGAATATATGTGAAATATTACACCTGAAGTAATAAAAGTAAGTAAATAAAAGCCATGCATTCACATTGATACATAAAAGTGCAAAAGTATTCGCATCAAATAGACTTAAAGGTACTATTTATGCAGAATGGCATGTTTATGAGGAATGTATATTATTAGATTGTAATTCTTCATGCTTTAATGTGCTTCTTAATTTAATGATGGAGCTGGTAAAGTTTCCCCTGAGGAATCAAAAACATTTAATCAAAAACTAAATGTATTAAATAAACGTAGTGAAGTAGAAGTATAACAGCAGAAAATGAGAATACTATGGTTGAGTTAATGTACTTTGTTACAGGTTGCAGGTTTTCCAACTCGTTTCTCATTGCAGCTCATTGAGTGCAAATGTGGCTCGTGTTTGTGCACAGTTCTTTAAAAGAAATAAGAAACAACAAGAGCAGATTCTCTTTTCAGTGTAAAGCAACAGAAGACTAGTGTCATGGGAATCATTCTGCCTGCAGCGTTCTCCCTTAAGGGACCATACTTCAAAACACAAGATCCACACACTGCCTGCATTTCATCCACTTCCTCCAGTACACCAGCACTGAGCAACACTGTTCAGGTATCTGTTCAGTTTTGTTTAGTGAGGTTTAACTTTTTTCACCACGGCTGCTTTATTGGACAGATTTATTGCTCTGTGGATAGTTTTGCATAAAAAAGTGCTGCGTGTATCTAGCAGGATAAAAGACTTCACAGCACCTCTAAAATCATAGTTACACAAGAAAGGACTGCTCTGCTCACATAGACACCACACTTGGCGTCACGTAGCACTGTAAATATACGAGACTTTTACGATTTAATGGTGCTGCAATGTTTTATAGTGTGTGGAATTTGAGAGCATTGCTGGAGCTTAGCTCTGCAGTGGTGCCGACAGTCACGTCTGCCTTCAGCTGTCCGGAGGAGTGTTCACGTGTTTTTATTGAATGAGTTGTTCCGACTTCGTAGCCTGTAAGCTGCGCCGCGCTCGTGCTCGTCTCAGTAGCTTTGTGTGTACGTGTGTGTGCGCATGATCTGCACACGATACAATCAGTTGCAATCCAAACTTTGCACAAACAATATGCCAGAGAAATGATTTGATATTCAAAATAGCCAGAGATGATGAATTAGTTTTGCAATGTTTGTCATACAGTCATGCACATGCAGCCACTTGCACATGCACCTTGCATGTGTAAACAAAGACGCCTGACAAACCAAAAAACAGGAACAGACTCCATCCTCAAACCACTGCTTCTGAACCACACACACACTTGCACACACACACACACACACACACCAAACAAAGGCTCTTTCTCTGCAGTCTGTTTAATGACACCCATCCCCTGCTCTATTTCGGGAGGCGTCTATTCCTGGCGCATCATTATTGTCATTAGCACGGTCTCACATTATTAAACCATTAGCGGACATTATCACCATTACGCACAGTGGTCAGTGTTGCATTTCTTTGCACCTGTGTGTGTGTTTGTATCTACTAAGAACCGTGCTGCTGTCCTGAATGCTCTGTACTTCATGGCCTTGGCAGACGGACACAGTCGGACTACCGAGGCTACTGTAAACGTCTTCCTCCTTCCTCTTCCTCGTCCAGAGGAAGCAACTAAACTTTGAACTTGCGCTGCAGCGTGTGACGAGAAAAGAGTTTTTTTTTTTAACCCCCCAAAAATAAAAGATTAAAATAGAACAAAGCCCAGTATACAGGGAGAGACTGTGATCCCACTTCATGCCTGTAAACTGAGCTAATTGCATGGCTCCATCTTTGTAACATCCAGAGGGAGAAACCTCGCAAACATTTTTGTGAAAAAGGATGTTTCTTTCGGCACCACATGGCTCCTGGGGCATGCAGTTGTTGTCCTCAAACTTGTAAAGACTCTTGTGTTTTCGCTGCGACCTCCAAAAAGCCTCAGTGCTGTTCTAACTTTTCAAAGAATGATTAAAACAAAACCCACTTGTTGCCGGAACTTTCTATCACGTTCTTTCTTCCTCTGTGAGTCAACCGTAAGAGCTATTTTTACTGGAGGCCAAACAGGCGCACAATTCATGCTTTTTCCCGGTTGTAATGTGACAAATCAGATTTCAACATACTATACCCTTCTTTCAAGAGAGGCACTTAAAGAGTACGCCTTGTTTCGTATATTTGCATCAGCTTGACCTCTTGAACTCTTCTTTAAATTTAGAAGAGAAAAAAAAAACTTTGTCACAATAGTTGGATGATTACACCTGAGGAAGCCTCTGTTTTTTTTTTTTGTTGACATGATTTTATACAGGTGTTTGCCCCTCACAATCAGACATATTTGGTATTTTTTCTTAATTTGGGCCCTGCGATGGACTGGTGACCTGTCCAGGGTGTCCCCTGCCTTCGCCCTTAGTCGGCTGGGATAGACTCCAGCCCCCCGCAACCCTAATGAGGATTAAGCGGTGTATAGATGATGGATGGATGGGATTATGACAAGAATTTACAACACATTTTTGTGATTTTGAACCAGAGGTCTTCGCAGATCCAAAGACCCAAAAAGCCACAGAAATGAGCTACCCAGAACTAAACCAGACCCATCTATTATTTGAAAGCTGAGATGTGAACCCGTGCAGACCTGTGAAATGCTGGGCCATGTTCACTCAAAGCGTAATTATGCATCCGTTTAACCATTATTAAAATTACAATCAGTGAGTTATAGATAAAGTCATCCCCTGTGCTGTTACCAAAGACAGGAAAAGTACCTACAGAGACCAGAACCGCTTTTTGTGTCAGGCTGTAAACATTTGTATTTCTGCTGTAGCGTTGGGCATTTTAACATGAAGCTCTATGGGGATTGACTCATTTTTGGAGTGAGCCTCAAGTGGACATTCAAGGAACTGCAGTTTTTGCCACTGTTCCGTTGGCTTCATGTTTTTAACCGTGCATGTTTCCACTTGATGTCAATATTAGATCATATCAGTGTAAGGATTTGATTGGTTAAGGAGCTGCAGCAACTGTCCAAACGTTTCTTACGCTGCTAACGTAGAACTTGGTGTTTAAAGAAAAGTACAAAAACAATACGACATGATGCTGCTGCAGGAAGAAAAGAGCAGAAATGCAGGTGTTTGACAAATTCACAAGATAAATAATTTGAATTTCTGATACACAATATTTCTCAAAGTTGTGTCTCCTGATTCAAAACTTCACAAAACTATTTGATGTTTAAGGTAGTCAGGGGATTTTTATTATTATTACAATAATTATCTTCTTGCTTGACAAAAACTCGCAGTTACTATTTTTGCTAAATCTTCAAAATCTTCTTTCACAAAATAGTTTAATGGGAGAAAACAGCGGAAACAGTGTGTTAACGAATATCTGCTGCTTATTTGGGCAAATAAAACACAAACACAGAAATTAATTAATGTATTATTCAACCAAATTCACAAGAGGAGAGAAATAATGAAGAGTTTGATGTGAGCACTGCTTTACAAATATTATAAAGTTTCTTTTAAAATTTTTAAAGAACGCCTGCTGCTTTCTCACTGGGTGACAAACGAGTATGTCATCTTATACTGTGCAGTCGCTGGTGCTGTTCTCTCTCTCTGTTACATATGTTCACAAACAATAATTATACGAGCTGTTGTTGTTTTATATTGTTTGCGAGTCCGTGTGAAATGTTGCTGAGACCTTTGATTTAAGCTTTAAATTCTTAATGAGCATCTGTTGGATGACGCCATGTTTACCACGAATGTTTTGTGCATTCATGCCATGCGAGTCTTATGCTCATTTTATATGTTGCAGGAATGTTCGTGCCAGATTTGTACTATAACATGAAGGGATCACCACGCCCTTCCTGTACCGCAAATCATAGTTTTATAAGGACAGTTAAGCTAGATATACAGTTTATGCTTTAATTTCATTATTCTCAGCTCTTTACAAAATAATGAGGGAACACAAAGAACGTCTTGCCGAGGCCTCCGCTGCTCAGGGCTGGTCACACAACATTACATTTAAACAATTGACCGACCACGAGAAGACATACGGATTTATTTACAGCGCGTCAGACTAGATTGTACAACTATGAAGAACATTAAGAGTGAGACACGGAGGGGGACCCAAGCACCAAATCACATTAAGGCTTCGTCTTTGTGTCCATAAAATGATACAGTATGTGACCAGCATGATGTGAAACCCCAGATTGTAGTTTTGTGGCCAAACACTGTTTTTCTTAGTTTGAGGGTTTTAAAAAAAACAAAAAAAAAAACAACCTCGACGAAGGATTTTCTTCAGTCCTTTAAAAGGCGTCGCAAACCTAATGATATGGATCACGGGAGAACATTTACAAAGTCGCTGGTTGACTCCCACAGCAGACGGAGCGCCTGATGTAGGCCATTGATACAAGTTTTGACATAAATCCGATGAGGCTGAGCAGAACAGGCAGACAGTGTCTCCTACTGACT